AACGTAACTTTACATGACTTCGAAAAAATATCTCTGAAATTTATTGTAATTGTTTAATTGTAGTGTTGTGAATGTATTGGTTAATAATATCTTTATTTTAAATTGTTATAAGGAGGAAAATGTAGGCGATTTAAATGTAAATGGTTTCTTATCTTCACTGACAATAGATTTGTCCTCTGGTGATCAGATGTGGGTAATTGGGTCTGGTGGACCGGTTTTGACCCAGATAATCACATTCCCAGAAAATTGAGCCTTAAATAATTAGAGGCGTATTTGACAATTTATTATAGAGGCCTTCAACAGTCCTCAGAATCGTCTAAACAGGCAACGATCGTTTATGCAAACTCGTGCACGCTTCACGTAGTAAGGCTCAAGTCGTACACCACTGTCCATTTGTTTACTATCATCCCGCTTATTTACCCAGAGTCCCTAGACTTATTTTAAGGAAAGTCCTGCCAAGTGTTTGCAGTTGGAGGCAATTTTGCTGCTGTTTAATTCCAATTTAGTAATTTACAAATACATTTTCAGAATTGGGATATTTGGTCAATATCGGTTACATTATTTTACCTATGGGAGGAAACCGGAGAACCCGGTGGAAACCCGTGCAGAACAAGAAGAGAACATACACACTGCACACATTGAGCCCGTGTTGAGAATTTAATTCAGGAAATATACTCTTTAAGGTTAGGTGGGAACCTTTCAAAAGACCGTACCACATTTTTCCATGGAATCCTTATTTGGTGTTAGTATATAGGGAGCAGCTAATTGGGATATCCACCGTCACTGTAATGGAAAACACATTAAACCGATAAAAAGAGCATTCGTGTTCTGAAGATTCGAAATCTCTTTTAAAGATGCAGCGGGGGCAGGTGCCCCAGCTGCATGTCACGGAAGTGATTGATGGTTCCCGTAACGTAGTTAACTGAAACACCCATGAGTGTGAAACGCCCTAGGAAAGAGGGTATTGGGAGCGGGCTGTGTTGGATAACAACTGAATGGCAGCTGTGGATGATTAAATGCAGTGGCACCATACATAGCATGCTTCCTGCAGAGGAGGGTGCTGAAAGGGAAATCAACTTGGAATAGGATTCTGTCAGCCGTTGTGAATCTTAATTGTTTTTGGCCGAGGTTATGAGCATTCTTCCTGTATGTTGTTGAACGTGGTTGACGCCATCGAGCCATGCTTCCCAAGAGGAGACTGGAGACGTCTCCTTGGAAGGAGGCCTCTTGAGCTCAACTATCGTCGTGCACACCTTTTTGATCGATCATGGCATTGTGCATTGCATAAAAAATTTCCATTTTTCTCGCACAAATTAACTTGCGTTCGTGCACTACTGGGCGTTTAAAACGTGCCTGAGTAAGATTTGTAGTTTTAATTTCTCTGGCCCTTGTCGCAGTCCTGCCTGCTGTTTCCCTCTTTTGTGAATTTGTACTTTTCTAGGTGATCGGGGCCATATTCTTTGTCGTGGATCAGCTTGGGCTTCAGCCGCTCTATTGCTTCCAAAGTCTCCTGAGCTGGGACCATGCTCAGAGCTGGCTTTGAGCCAGCTCATTTGAGCCAGAGCCAAGCTGAACGATGACTAAGTATACCACCCCATGGGGGACTTTCCTGGACAAATGATATTATTGTTTCGTTGTTTTCACTTATAGAGTCTATTTTTATAATGATCTTTTTTCATTTATAAGGTGCTTGCTTAAATTCTTAAGCAGCTCAAATCACCTTACATCTCATCACATCTCAAATATTAAAATGCCCCCCCAGTGGTAGCTATCCCTTGCATCACAACTTAGCACCAGCCTGCAAGCAGGCATTAGTCTGCCTATAGGGGCAATTATTGCTGTGTGTATTTCCGAATTAGCAATTTGCGGGTAATTTTTCACACTTGGAAAATTTGAGCCACTGCCTGCTTGTCTTGGATGACATCAGGGAATCTGTAACATTCACTCTGAAGTAGACGGCAGAGTATATTCTTGATACATACCGCAGTAATATCCAGGGCGTACTGTCGGATTAAACCTCTGCAACCAGTGTCGATGGCTCTGCCGCTGGACCGAGTCACCGCTTATTACGGACGTGCTGCAATTAAATCAGTGCCCGGGCATCATATAAATAGAATTGTCCAGAAGCACGGTTTATCCGGAATCGAGGTAATGCACCCACAGATACTGAGGAGTTAACTAGAGCAGAAGAATGCTGGAGCCCGATTTGTTGGTGCATGGGAAAGGCCTTGATGTGGCAGAGAAAAGGAGTGTGGCTCACAGCACAGCAGGAGGCGGTGGCGAGAGTGCCCTGCGGTGACGCTGCGTGCCTCTGACCGGCGTATGGATTGTGCGCTTAACCCGAGGAGTTCGTAGCGTTCGTTTTACTTGTCTTTTGTTGTTATTCCATTTATAACGTCTAGAAAAGGTTTCTGGTGTTCGTCTTGCATCGTTTCAGCTGCTTGTAATTATTGACCAGCACTAAGTGTGCTGCAGCCCCTCATGCATTTTTTATGCCTTCACGTTGAAACATTTATGATGGTGGTGGTGGTGCTGCAGAAAATTTTTACTCATGCCTGCAGAGCAGCCACCTCGAGCGAGTTTATTACAACCCCGGGGGCATTTCTCAGCACTGAAACCGATGCTGAGGTTCAAGAAAGTGTATTAAAAAATCCTGACACCAGCAGTGAAAATTATCTGAAATTCTGTGGATGAGTGATGTTCAGAATGAGTTCGAGAGTGGAGTTTACCACGATGCCTCGCCTTGTCTGTGTTTTACAGAGAGCCTGGTGCATACATAAACATGGAATCCGATCCTATTCACATTTATACTGGATCTTAATCATAATTTTGTACGTTTAGTATCCACACCATTCTTATAGCGCAAGGCTATCACGAAGGCGCTGTGTTTCACAGACACTCTGATCAGCACGGTTGAATGCACACGGTGCAAAAGCAGTTCAACATACAGACATAGTTTCACAGTCGGGGCCAATGGTCTTGTATGTAATCCCATTGAGTCATTTGCAGTGTATTTTTTCTAATTAGACACATTGTTACCGTAATGCCGAGATACATTGGCCTACTCGTTTCAAATTACATCACAGCATCGTTAACGTCCACCGAAGCAGACAGTGCGTAGTGCTTTTGTGGTTAGCACACACGGCAGTATTAACCAGGGCGGCCACTGGCATTTGTCCTACTGGACATCTGTGTAACCTGATTGGACATCTTTGAACAAGAGCTTCACAGCTCCTCCTGCAGTCTAAATAAACACATTCATGCGGAGGGAGCTGGTAGGAACGTTGGGTTGCTCGGTCAATGGCCAGGGTCAACGGCGGCGTGGTGTATTCCGCAAATATGCCCGACTGTGAGGGCGGGCACAAGCCGGCGTGAGTAGGTTAAACGTTGAGTTTTATAAGGGCACCACGGGGTGACCAGCCCCTCCCCACCCAGCCCCACCCCTCCCACCCCCCACCCAGCCCCACCTTCCCCACCCAGCCCCTCTCCACCCAGCCCCACCCCTCCCATTTGTGGATGCACGACGGATGGACACAATAATCCCCTGTGGGCTGGGGTCACCAGGAGGTTCCTACCAGTGATATTCTGATTCATCTTCTAGGTTCTTTCGGTAAAGTAACGTAGAAGGGAAATAATAAAATAATAAACATAAAAATAATAAAATTCTCACGACGTTTCGGCCACAACACAAGCAGCCGTCCTCAGGTGAAGAAACAGAACTGTCGGAAAGATAGCGCTCCAAAAATATTCAGATTCTAAACATTTGAACCCTGAGCTTCCTGGACGAGCGGCGAATGCATCTCCTTCTGGAGAGTCGGCCAAATGCCGTGCGTCTCAATACAAGGCGAAGGTGCGACGTCTGGTTGACCACGTGATCCATTGTGATGCTAATGTGTACTGTGGATCGCATTGCTGATGCCTTTGCCGGTAATGCATCGGTACGAGAGAAGACAAGGGCTCACGAAGTGTCACACGGTGCAGTGAATTACTATACTAAGTCATTGAATAATTCCAGTAAAAAATAACAGTGTAGTATTTCCACATATAGAAGTTAGTCAGTGTATTTTATTTAACTGGGAATCACATACAGATATAGCTATTAAAGTATATAATGTTTAGATTTCTTTACAGCAGCCTTCAACACGCTCCGATTCTGGAGCACTGACCCACGAATCTCACAAATTCAAGAACTCGTCCTGAGGGCGTCAGCAATATTCACCATCTGTGTCATGTGACTTCAGCTCAGCAAACATGAGGATTTATTTATTTATTTATGGGCCCATTGAGCATAAATCTATTTTGCTCCTATACCGGGGGTTTCATTTAGAGTGTTTCAGCTGCCCACTCGGAATGTGTGACTGGCTGGTGAAGCCTACCACTTTGTGGGGATGTCAAAAGCGGTTATCCCGAGGATAAACACGTTGGAATGTCCACCCCTGGCTCAGGACTGTGAGCAGGACATTAAGGCAGCAGGAGATCATCGTGACTCTTGGCGGGCGTAAGGATCTGTCGGCTGCACAAACTCGGCCGCGTCGGACACGCCACGACCATGTGTTCGCTGCCACGCAACCTGGGCGATGTGCTATCGCCCAGGGGAGGAATGCCACAGCAGCATTGGGGCCAACCTAGCAGCTCAGAGCCGCGAGTGGTACTCTCTTTATCCACCCTGGAGGGATGATAATGGGCTGAGTCAACCCCCCAGTCTGGATGTGAACTTTCAACATTCCGTTTGTGGACCACTCTACCACTGAGCCACCCGGATGTACAACCAGTCAAGGTTAATAACGCTTTTAAGAAACTATGATTAATTTCTAAAACGACTAATTCGAATACAACCCTTACATCACAAGGTGCACTCGAGCTCACATTTGACCGGTAACTCTCAATACAGAGTTTGATGAGCTTCCGCTGGACTTGCAATAAGTCCCTCCTGATGTGTGAACACTGGCAACCCGGCACATTCAAGTGTGTCACATTAATAACGCTGCTCTTGTTCGCAGTGACCTGCTTGCCCTGGGCTATCGGGAGCGGCATTTTGATGAAGATGGGAAACCCGTTGAGAAGCAGGTGACAAACACAATGCATTTATATTCACATTGTGCATGTACATAGGGTCATACACAAGCCACACACAAACCAGATGAAGCGGCCACTGCTTCTCAGTGTGGGCTGCTGCAATTCCCGTGTACACGTCTCCTGATACACACAGATACACCAAACCCGTATGGACAGCAGCATCCACTCGTGACACACATGTACTTTTGTCAACCAAAGGCAATGGTTTACCAATTTCCACGCAACTGTGGAGCCAATCGGGGTGTTGTGTTCCACCCGTGTGAAGACCGTTCATTCCAAATGCAGAGCGTGCGGTCAGCATTGCGCGTCCACGAATTGCGGTTATCTGGGCGTGATCCATCAAGCGCCAATGCTCCTCGCGGTCGTTAATCTAGGTTGGTACAAAAAAGCAATGTTGATCCCACTGCCTTCATTGATGATGTTTTCCTTTACAGATTGATCAGTCTTAATGTGCCCCATGGGATGTGTAAAAAAGCACACTTTTGTTTTTTACGTGGAGGGACCAATTTGTGGTGGTGGTGGAGGAGGAGGCGCATTGCCCGCGACTCAGCACGCTGACTGCACAGCCAGACGCATGCCACCTGCGGCAGGAGAGAGGCCGTGTGGGGACAGTCACCTGGACCCCACCTCACTGACGCCAGGATCAGTTCAGACGTATTCTCGTGCGGTTCTCAGGTCGATAGTGCTTGTCGGTCAAGTTAAACCAATGCTTTTCTGAAGATTGTCGGTGGACAGTGCCGTTCATGAGACACCGAATTGTGCCCCATTGTGAGGGCAAAAGTGTCTGCCTTCCATACGCCCGGCTCATATGGAAGCACGCTGTTGAGGCTGTACTAAATGACAAGTAATGTCTAAATGCCTCAGAGGTGCTCTCTATATGGGACGTTTCAGTAACTGTGCTTCTTTGTGGTGTGAGCCTCCTTCATCATCGTGGTGTTTGGGTTGTGCTGCAGGGCGGGGAGCTGTGCCACTACCACGGCAAGCTGAGAGGGATTTCCGACTCCTTCGTTGCTGTGTCCACGTGCCATGGGCTGCAGTGAGTGATTCCCAGCACGCGGTGTCAGAGGCCAGCAAACACAATGAATCCCACTTCTACTCTGGATACCAGGGATGAGTTTGGGATTTAAAATGTTCAAATATATGATGGATACATATTTATTTGGATCATCCAAAAATTATTTTGGGGACATTTGTATATCGGTATAATTTTCAGAAATGTTGGATTAACTAAAACACGGATCCGATTCTATTTGCATACGCTAGACTGTCTTCACTTAAATTGCAACATCTTCATGTTCATCCTTAAATATTTAAAGTGTTGTCATCGGACAATTAATTTAAATGTTTTGATGAAATATCGTGCTCGTTTTAAACGTTTACAGATTTGACCAGTAAACAACATGGTGTAATGAGTGAAACAGGTTTATGGCATCTTGTTGTTTGGCTTAATTCTGTTTGTAATCACTTCATTATGCCTTCTCATGGGGGACGACCTTCACATTTTAATTTTGAAAATTAATTGTCAATTGTAAAAAAGCATTTTTCTGCCACACTGGCTCACTCTTTGGCTTGTCCGCTGCTGCAAATGTGCTCTGTACAAAGGTGTGGTGAGCGGGATTGATCTATTTTTCATTTGGCATTCAAAGTGTGGCTGGCTGTGTCTGCTGATAACACAACATCAAACGGCTGCATGAAGGGAGAGGGCTGCAGCGGCCCTGGCGCTGAATCACTGCCTGGCGACGGCGAGGATACAAAGTGTGATCATTGCCTCCTGGCTCACGCCGGGTTGTTAAGCGGCGAGTGCGTTGCTGTGGTGGCGGGGTGCGTTGTGTCTTGTTTGCGTGATCTGCTGATTGCTGCCCATTCTGGATAGCGGCCTTTTTCTGATCGTGAAACTGGTGCAAAATGTTACCCATTGTCGTCATCGGAGAGGCGCCCTGCCCCGCTTTGTTTTATCACGGAGACACTTTCAACGCTTGACCTTTGATGTGACGTGAATGGCCGGCGTCAGGACACTGGGCTCTTTATCGCAAGGTCATAAGGTCACACCTGGTCACGGTCAACTGATCAAGTGTCCCTGTCTGGGAGGCAAAGCGAGCACCGCTAGGTGCTGTGAGACTTCAGGAACTGAGACTTTTCAAACGGATATGGGGACTGGCCAGTGCTCATTATTGTGCCGATTTTGGACTTTTATTTAGTGATCCATAATCACAGCATCTGATTGAAAACTTGTTTGTTATCAGTGTGTCACGAGTGGTCCAGAAACACGGTCACTCATAAAAAATAGAGAACAAAACTTGAAAAGTGGGCGAAGAAGCGGACAGAGTTGCATGCTTTGGGTAGGACATGTCACGACTAGAAGGATCATTAACGCTGGTCAAGAAATATAACGGAGCAGCAGCCAAGGGATAGAACGCGTCTGTGAGGCGCCCACCGAGGAGATGGAGCGATGAGATCGGCCCATGTGCAGCGGGTGCTGGATGGATTGCTGCATCGCAGGATCGTGAGAGGCGGTGGTAAATTGGGGAGGCCTTCATCCAGCAGTGGATTCGCCATGGCTGCTGTGGCGCCAGTGCTGCTGCTGATGATGATAATCTCAGCCTCGTGGCTGTGCCTGCTTGTGCTGTCCCTGCAGTGGGATGTTTCACGATGGCAACCACACGTACCTGATCGAGCCCGCGGGACTCGCGGACGCCCAGGTGAGTGCTCGCCCGCACGCACCGTACGTAGCTGCTCGCGCTCCCCGGGGAGAGCACCCAATGGGCGGGAGGGCGTGCGACACACGTGGCTTTTGTGTTTTCAATGTAATGTGCAGCACGCTACTTTGCACTTTACAAAGCATTTGTTGGCAATCCTGATCCAGTAATGGATAATGCGATGGCAAGGACCAGTATTCTCCATGGGACAAGTATTGTATAGCAATAGTTCAAAGTTATTCTCATATAAACAGTTTCATCATAGTTCATTAGTTGTACTAGATGGTTGTTAGATTATGGTTATGATTAAGGTCCAGGTTACGTGGCCCGAGGGTGATGTCCGATGGTCCATGTTTATACAATTCACTCAATCGTGACCTTACGTCATTGCAAATGAGAGTCGTTTTACATTCGTCAAGGACACTGACAAATATATAAAAAAATATTCTAACTAAAATAAATCCATGTTGCATGTAAAAAAATGCACACAATTACCCCTGTGGAAGTAAAGCAGCAACAAGATTGTTACGAGACAATTATGCCAAATTACAGATGTCCACACGCAAGGGAGCTGGCTCGGCTACACACTCCGCTTCACGTCAAGTGTTCTCCATCGTTTAATTTGCCAACAGAACGAAATAAATCATTAGCAGCGCAATAATGAACATTCCCAGCCAATATCTTTAAACCGCATTGGAACGTTCCGTATTCCCATTTAGTGACAGATACTCGGTGACCTTTTAATGCCTCTGATGTTTCCCTGAGCCCGCACAGCTCCCTCCCTCTAAAGGGACCTTTACATAAATATTTAATATACTAGACAGCGTTGACTTTGGCATATCACGTTATCTGCCACTTTCCTACTTTTAAACATGAAACTCCTAGATATTTTACAATCCAATGATTCTCATTTGCATGACGTTTTATGAGCATCGCCACATTTATTAATGCAATTAATTAAAAAAATGTATAGCAGACTCTCATCAGCACATTCACTGGCAGCCTTGGGGGGCATTATAAACACCAGTGTCCCCTTCAAGGCAAGGTTGGTGTGGTGACTGTTATGTCCATTTCAAAGTTATAACCGCTCAAGATATTACAGCGCCATGTGACTAGGATTTGTATAGCATTTAATTAGGGTCCAACTGCATCTCAGACTACAAAACAGCGTGGCGTGCGTGTCGTGTAGACTGCTCCGTGTGCACTACACGCACATTTGAGAAGAGATAATTGACGCGTTATCGCCAGAGCTGTATATTCCTCGAAATGACAGCCAACGGCCGTGTCCCAGAGGCACGTGCCGCACCATACCGAACGCGAGTTGCAGGACAAAGACGCCCTCTGCAGTGCGCCCCGCGGCGCGCAGGGCGAGATCAGTGACCACGCATTGACGGGGTTCACGTTCAGGAACATTCCACTCGTGGTGCATGCGGACAACAGTGTGTACAAGAATAACCTAATCGTGAATTATTATTAAACGCTCGCTCAACAATAGCATCTGCAACAACGGTGAATGTTTGTCCACAAATATTCTTTAAATGCAGAACACCTAACTCTACAATAAATGTATCACTCCCAACTCTATGACGATTTACCTTCTCTGCATCTCTTTCTCTGACCCTGCATTGCTGTACTGTATGTCTAGAGTCTGGAACTGGGATATTGTTCCCTCATTAGCTCACAACACAACCAGGCCAGGAGCGAGGGGGGCGCTGGACTGGGTCCTGCACCACCAAATGTCCCTTTGACACCCCACCCAGGTCCACTCTCCTTAGCCGTGAATCTCCGTCACGATGGCAACACGACAGCTCTACTGTTACCCCCATCACAGTGGAGCCGGAACGGGCCTCACTACACCTGTCCTCACTACCACCACTACGGGGCGTCTCCTCACTACCACAACAGGGCGTCTCCTCACTACCACCACAGAGCGTCTCCTCACTACCACCACAGGGCGTCTCCTCACTACCACCACAGGGCGTCTCCTCACTACCACCACAGAGCGTCTCCTCACTACCACCACAGGGCGTCTCCTCACTACCACCACCACAGGGCATCTCCTCACTACCACCACAGGGCGTCTCCTCACTACCACCACCACAGGGCGTCTCCTCACTACGACCACAGAGCGTCTCCTCACTACCACCACAGGGCGTCTCCTCACTACTACCACAGAGCGTCTCCTCACTACCACCACCACAGGGCGTCTCCTCACTACGACCACAGAGCGTCTCCTCACTACCACCACAGAGCGTCTCCTCACTACGACCACAGGGCGTCTCCTCACTACTACCACAGAGCGTCTCCTCACTACCACCACAGGGCGTCTCCTCACTACCACCACCACAGGGCGTCTCCTCACTACGACCACAGAGCGTCTCCTCACTACCACCACAGGGCGTCTCCTCACTACCACTGCAGGGCGTCTCCTCACCGCACAGTGACGTGTACAATGTCTATATCGTGTGCGTGCCCATGTGTCCTTGTTTTTGTTTTTGCTGTGCAGGAGGCACAGCCACACATTGTCTATCGAGGATCAGACCAAGATGTTCAGGCGTTCCTTCCTGGTTAGTCTCTTGTACTTATTATCATTTCATATGGGCTTAGATGAGGAACTCTCGAGATTCCCTTATCAGTGATGTATCTGTTCAGTTGCTTTACCTCGAGTTGGTGAATTGCAGGTATCCCCACCCATCCACGTTGTGTGAACACTTTCAGTTTCAATGTCTGCTGATGTGGTTGTCTCTTCATCCAGAGCTGGGTCAGACTGGAGGCCTGAACATGAGTGCTGGGGGGCTGGGCCTACTCAACAGCGCCAAGGTAAATGATCACTGTGACTGCCAAACACCACGTGTCCACCGTGCTTGCACCAGGCCCTCGTTTACACTCTCCATTCAGTCTTGCCGCATCCCCTGCCTAGGATTTGGGAAATGACATGCATTTGGGTAGCAGGAATTCGTTTGTAATGAAATCTGGTGCCAGTATTACGTTGAACTTTATAGTGGACATCTGTGAAAAAGAGCTTCATAGCCCCTCAGATTACTCCAGTCTAAGTTTAGAGTCTGACAATCTTACCCATTCCCTTACATTTCCGCTCTCCACCCAGTACCCGCTCTACTTGCTCCCAACCATCATGTCCTTCATAGCAGACATTTTTCAATACACATTTATCCACAACATTTTACTATTATATTCTTAGTTTTTTCGGTAAAGTCACGTTGAAGAGAAACAACAAAATAATAATATATATAAAACAATATTATTTTGTCGTTTCTCTTCAACGTGACTTTACCGAAAAAACTAAGAATATGAATTACTGCAGTCACGAAAGCTTTAAATCAAAACATTTTACTAATCCACTCACAGGTTTTCATTGATGACAGTGTAACTGTGCTGGATTGTGATGCTGTGATGATGTTGAGCTGAAGGTAATGGATAGGTTGTGAGGGTTGTAGATGGAGACGTGTATTGGCTACATTGTCGACAGAGCTTACAGTTTTCCATGGAATGTGTTCATTTCTTGATGCAATTCTGCATTTGGATGCATTTTTGGTACACCAGTGCAAAATAACACACCAGTCCTCATAAAACAGTCTAAAATGAAAATGTTAACTGACTTTCGTCTTACGATTGCTCCGACATCACGAGCGCTGATTTTGTTGCACCCTGCATGATTTTCTGACTGTGGTTGCGAATTGCGAGAAAATAAATAATTATTGTAAAAACATTTCCTTTTTTATATTGTGCACGGGTGTACTGCCAATACGTTCATTTGGAAAATGGTAGTGGCTCCTTGGCCAAGAGCAAGTGGAATATTTAGACTTCACTCCTGTTGCACCTCAGGCGGCAGTTATTTTAATCAACATCCCTGAGTGGTGGCGGTGACATTTGGTGTTTGACATGACAGTGCATTATTTAGATGTATAATTATTATATTATCTTGATTTAAAGCTTTCGTGACTGGAGGAATTCATATTCTTTGGGTCTTTCGGTAAAGCCACGTAGACAGAAAAAAAATAACAAAAAAATAACAAAAATAGCACGACGTTTCCATCGCAACACAAGCGGTGGTCTTCCGGAGAGAAGACGACCGCTTGTGTTGTGAATTGCCCGATGATGCTGGATGTAATTACCAGTGAAACGTCGTACTCCTCAAACTGTAAATGTTGTGGATTCACTCTTCAACACACTATTTTGTCTTTTGTCAACGTGACACTTTTTTGCTGATTGGCCGTGTCAGGTGTGGAGGGTTACGACACATTTATAAATAACGCGATCTAACCCAAAAAAACCTTTATTATGCTTGTGTTGCGATCGAAACGTCGTGCTATTTTTGTTATTTTTTTGTTATTTTTTCTGTCTACGTGGCTTTACTGAAAGACCAAAAGAATATTATCATTATAATGTAGTCATTTGAGCAGCATTTGGAGGCACTGGGTGTTTTAAAACGTGTGTCTCACAGCAAGAAGAGCCTGGTTTGATGCCTGCTTTTGATGCCTGTCTGAGTGGAGTTGTATTCTCTCGCCCTGTTCTGCAATGGGTTCCCTCCGGGTTCTCCGGTTTCCTCCAATAGCTCAAAATAACACACACAATGCAGCTGGTATTGACCAAATAAAATAACACACAATGTAGCTGGTATTGACCAAATAAAATAACACACACAATGTAGCTGGTATTGACCAAATAAAATAACACACACAATGTAGCTGGTATTGACCAAATAAAATAACACACACAATGTAGCTGGTATTGACCAAATAAAATAACACAAACAATGTAGCTGGTATTGACCAAATAAAATAACACACACAATGTAGCTGGTATTGACCAAATAAAATAACACACATAATGTAGCTAGTGTTGACCAAACATCCCCATGATGAAAATTACCTCAATTACTCAATGAGGGTTACACGTAGCAACCTCACCCCCTCCTGTGGAAACTTGGCCGGACTGTCTAGAAAGTAGAGACTCACTAATTTTTATTACTTTTCTTCTCTAGGTGCGAGTTCGCAGGGAAGCGGAGGTGGAAATGAAGTACGTGGAGCTGACCATAGTGAATGACCACATCATGGTGAGTCCACAGCACCCAGAGTTGGGAAAATAACCCGCAAATCACTCCGTTGGGATCAGACACAGCAGCAACATCGCCCCCAACTGCAAACACCTGGCAGGACTCTCCTCAAAAAGTCTCGAGACTCGGTGAGGCTTTCTGGGTAAACAAATAAACAAAAATAAAATAATTAAACCAACAGTTGGGGATAGTACTGTTTGCAAGCACCTATAAGGCCAACATAGCACATGAAGGGATGGGTGGCCAGCACCACGCCCTGCCGCCTTTGCCTCCCCAGTTTTGATGTTTTTATTAACTAACCCAGGTACTCATGTATGGCTGAGTCGACCTAGGGGAGGCCCAGGACTGGCTTAGATATATATCACTAACATTGGCCATTAATGGTAATCGAACCTAAGCTTTGTTTGCTGCCGGTGCAAAGCTAGCCACGACAGGCACACACAAACCAACATGTCCACATGTCTGTATGGCTTCTACATGTGGACATGCATGGCTCCCATGAACTCTTACAAATGCATTGTAAGATTTACAAGTCAATAACTTGTAGGAACGTCATGGTTGTGATTCGTTTATTCAGGTAATGCCTTACATGGAACAATGGCAGCACATGACCATTTCATTCCAATTGAGTAAATCAGGGACATGCATGGCGCTGCAGTGACATCGCCAGTGTGCGGTGGTGGCGGTGGCGACGGTCGCTGTTAGAATGGTGCACGCTTACGCGAGTACGTCGCACGTGTTTGTGGATTGGTTTGTGTGCGCGCGTGTGCAGTTCAAGAAGCATCGCCAAATACTGGGCCTCACCAATAACTACGCCAAGTCCATCGTGAACATGGTCGACGCGGTGAGATCGCATTGCGGAGAGCGACTCCACACGGCCAGCACCGGAGCTTGGTGTACTGGCAACGAGGGTTTTATCTCTTCTTTTATTATAATTAGTGATATTCTTATTATTATTCTCTCGAAACCACTACACTATCCCACTACAATACTGCAACACTACACTACACCATGTCACCTCTACACCAACACACTACACCTCTTGTGCATCTATTGTCTGTGAATGTGGGTACAAGATGAAGAGTCGCTAGCAGTGCTCCTTGCAGGCACGACTCGACACTCCTCTGATTCATGAATTCTGGAGGAGCCTCGTCACCAACTCACAAACTCGCCTCGGGCCCTGGAGTGACGGCACAGATGGGAGGATGAGAAGTCCGCTTGTCCATGAATAGCATGGCTTCTTCTGTGATATTAAAATTATCATCTCACCTTTACATATTTTTCTGGCAATGCATAATCACGCTTTATCACTTTGTATATTTGAACTTGGATTTTTAGTTGTCTGATATTTAAAGCAATTAGCATCTTTCAGCAAAAAAAGTAGTGCTTAAATGTTTTTTTTTATATCCGTGTCTGTGGTTATTTACACTGCACGTATCAATTGTGCCAAGCTGAATGTGCTTTGTCAAAGTGTGAAAGTGTAGTCACCGATAGCACCATTGGTCTGCGGCAGCCACGTTCTACCATTGGCCAACCTTCAATGCCTTGAGTTCGCTGTCGTGGAGACCATCCTGCCAGCAGTAGCGTGAGTGAGTGGGCAATTGCAGGGCTGCGGTTGGTACGTCAGCGCGTGGTGCTCAGTGCGTTCATGATGAACGTTCCGCAGGGAACGGTTATCGGTTTCTGATTTTCGCAAAGCCAGGAATGGATTCTGAAAACTTGATCGTTTTGCTGGTGATCGTTTCACAGAGTATTCTTCACTCATGTTCAGAGGAGGGCCACTTTCGCCGATAAGACATCAGTGAAGGTCGCCACGCATTTGAAACGATAGGATTTGACAGCAGCACGATGTGATGACGATGTGGGGTGTTTTCACATCTGTTGTGTATTGTAGTGGGCCGCACGTCAGGGGGCGCACTAAAGGCCACTAGGGGGCGCCAGTAGCTCGCGGATCCTGCAATGAAGAACACCGATATAGTACAACCGCAGTTGAGTTGCACTGCTGCTGTGCACGAGGACGCATGGTGTCTGTACAGCAGTGAGGGCCCACGAGAGGGCGCTGCGCCCACACGGGTGGCACTGGAGCAACAGTTCCGTGGCGTTGTTTTCTGTGCTGAATGAAATCGCAGTTTCGAGAAGAGAGCGAGACAAGAGACTTCCCGTTGGAATAGGCGGCAATGCGGGCCCAGCAGCGCCAGTGGGTGGTGCTCGTGTGCTGCACTGCATGGGGAAACCAAATCGGAATTTCAATGTCGGTGCAACCCCTACCCAGGAGAACTACAACAAAGAACAACAACAATGACTTGTTCTTGATATCGCGCCGCCCGAAACGCCGGGCGTCTCCGAGCGCTTCACATTTCGCACCTCGTGTCACACTTTTTAAAGGGCAGCCTCAGTGGTAGCTGTCCCTGTGGGCACAAGCAAGCAGCACCTGGCAAGCAAGCGGGCACGGGTGTGCCAGCATGGGGCAATGATTGCTGTTGCTTGTGTAATCCCAATGAATGATATAAACAATAACAATGTAATACGTTTCTGTGCTCAAACCAGCACTGAGGCATTGAGACAATTCAACTGGGGGCAGCTCCATGTCGTAATTATTCGCAGCATTGATTTTGGGTGTCTCAAAGTTAACAGCCTGATCAGTACAATTTATTTATTATTTTGTTCTAGGGTGGCCACCTTTTCCACTCCAGACCAAACTCAGACATTTCTAAGTCAACCTGGGTTTCTTATCAGAGCTGTGCAGTATGCTGCAATATTATTCAGCATAACACCAGAACCGGATCTCAGCTCAATTCAGTTTATTCCATCCGCATACAAACACCGATGCTTAGACTGTCCGTGTAAAAACACGGACAGGTCACGATCCTATTTTGTTGTCATTTTATATGGCACCTTTGCCCTCATAGACCCACACGTGCAATGTGTTATGGGCATTTATTCCTGCGTGAAATAGCTTAACACCACATGCTGCTCATGCAACTCCGTGATTATTTCGTTTGTGTTTAGAGTGTTGCAAGAGCGACTTTGTGTCAGTTGATTGAACATTGTGAAAGAATCAAATAGACAAGTGACAAGTTAATCTCTGCTGTCAAATAACAGTTGTGTGAGAAATCCACTACTAATGGTTTATAGAAGAAAATTATATAAGAATAATAAGTATCATGCCGTTATAATTTCTTAGGATGTTTATAACGCTTGTCAACTAAGGTTGAAATAATTAATGCATTAGCTCTGTTCGTCTGTAATGGGGGCCACGATGACTCGTAAAGATGATCCAATATAATCAGAATACGACTATAAAATCGTGTCGCTATTAGGAACCAACTCTATAGACAGCTCGGAAAATGAAGCAAAGGGTTATCCAAAAATATTTTAGGTCAGTCCAATGACGTAACTGCGCGTGACATCCATGCCTCCAAAGTGCTGGACTGCGGGCATCTTCCATCGCATGTGCCCACACACCGCAATGAGAGTTTGTGTCAAGAGAGTTTCTTCAGGGGTTTGTGGTCAAGAGTTTTGCAAAGCACACACAACATCACGAGCATCAAAGGAAGTGTTTACGTAGTGCACGAGTGTTGTCATCTCGGAATACTGTACATCTGTGGGGCTTTTGTTTCTCTACCGACTGATGGATGGATGTGCGCCCGACACAGTAACAAGCTGTTCCATGAGATCGACAAATGTCAAGGCTGCCTCGTGGGTGATGGGGCACGACTACTGTCAGCAAACGTTGCTCCCAAGTAAAGTGACGGGGCACGATGTGCTCGGCAGCTCCGCAACGGCGCTCCATTAGCGCTGGGATGACTCAAGTCTGGCACGCAGCGCCCTAGGGTGGCGGGGACAGGTTCGCGTGTGCTCTCATCAAGTGTGGACCCACCGCTGAGACGGTGACGTTTGGTAGCGATCCGTTGGGTCGCAAGCCACGCAACCGTGCCTTGTTAGCAATCCAAAGGACGCGCATTGGGTTCGATGTCCAAGGGTAATGTCTCGTGGCATCCCTGTGACTATAAGTTGGACACAGATAATTACATTTAGCCACAAAAATAAGCCATTAAGGCCACATGAGCAGTGTGAGGCACCATCTGGACCCAGTAAAGCACAGAGCTGCGGTCTCGGTGCCAGGCTGAAGTGTAAATAGAATGCATTCATAGAGACACTTCAGTGTAGGGGTTATGCACATTTCAGAGGTCCTAGCTGAATAGCGCTCACACCTCTCTCATCTTGTAATTTTTACTCTGAGAATTCGTGCTGGAAAGATGTTATTGATCTCAACTCCTAATTTGGCATTGAGTCTATCATATGGAAAGCTATGATTTGCATTTTTTTTATAACGGGTTTAATTGTAAATAATATTAAAACAAGTTGTTCAATAACATCATGATTTGACACATAATAGAAATTGAGTTAGGCCAGGGAATGATTTGACCAAATTTGTGTAGTTAAGACCTTCCACCACCTAACACAGCCTAACAAATTACTCTGCTATGTAGATGCGTTCAGCATGCCGGTGATTATGGTTTTATTGTCACCGGTGAGTTTAAGAACAAATTCTCACAGCCACATTTATAAATCAGATACGATAACGTTTCATTTCAAACTGCGTCAAACGTCATCAATGCAAGATCCAGGAAGTCAGAGTAACCGTGTCACCCGACCTGGCTTCTTGAATATATGTCAAGATCTTGAATCTTATAATTGCCTTCATTGTTTGTAAATATCAATTGACACTACATCTGCACACAGCCAGGGCACCGGTGTGTCTCGTGAACATGAATCAATAATTAACTTTGACAGAATCACAAAACTAGTGGAGCAATTATTTGTGGATCTCTAGCGACACATAAATGTACCCCCTGCAAACAAAATGATTTTTAGATGAGAAGCCCTTTTCACACCTGGGAAAAGTAACCGCTGCCCTTTGAAGTAAATCCCTTGAACCTCTCAAATGAATCAAAGTGCAGAAAGTGTCTGAATACAAATGAAAATACCGTTATAACAAAATCCCAGTGAGCTGTATTTTTGCATAGACCTTACCACTTCAGTAAGAAATGTCATCGATATAAGATTAGGACTGGTTAGCAAACATGTAGCCAGATTGATGCGCAAATGAACAAGATGCTCATCGCATTGTCAGGTAACGCATACATAGTTATTTGCTAGGACCTTCGATTACGTACCCCGCTGACGGCCGGATGTTTGGTGAACAGTGACAGGCCGGATGGTTTGATAATTAAAATTGAACATGAAACAGAAAGAATGTCAGGGCCGGGATGTGGCTCGTGAGGCTGTCGGCGGCGTTGGAGAGCGAGCGCACCGCGAGACTCCCCGCTGAGAGCCGCGCTCGCACCGCACGCACTCCCCGGGGTGGTGCTGGCCACCCATTCCCTCGTGTGTCGTACCGGCACCTCCGATTAGCACGGTTGGCTACGTACGGTGCGAAAGAAGTTCATCATACCTACAAATAGGTGCTCGCTAACAGCACTTGCCCCAACAGTCTGTTAAGGCAATGCTGAGGATTCTTTGTCTTTGCACGTGTCCATGTGCTAGATCTACAAGGAGCAGCTGAATACGCGGGTGGTGCTGGTGTCCATGGAGACCTGGACAGACGAGAACCGTATCACTGTGAGCACCGATCCGCTGCAGACGCTGCGCGCCTTCATGAAGTATCGGCGGCAGTCCCCGCGTACCGACGGAGACACGGCCCACCTGCTCTCGTGAGTGGCGCCACGGCAGCGTTCTCCACTCTCCGCCACGCTGCTGCCACTCCTGTGACGATTCACGATTCATTTTTTGGGTTAGGACACGTAATGATCTGGCAACATTTTCTGCCTAATACCCTTCACACATGCCCATCATTATTACTATTATTACAAAATAATCATTCACATCGTTGTGGGGTGTATACGTTTCAAAATAGATAAGCAGATAATTCGTCTCCTTCATATGCCTGTCTGTCCACGTAAAACACAAGTGTTTCTTATGCAACCCATCTGAAAGATGACCCATTTTTTAAAGTGAGGGACCTTGCTTATAACATCTGGCAGTTTACAGCCATGTATTAAAGCAAGCCTTACTGCTGATCAGACACCGTGTGTCAAAACTGGTCCAGGGTTTGCTTGTTTTGAATCAATGCTGATGAAATTGCCCCATTGGCCGTGGGGCCAATGGGGCAGATAGGCCCCATGGGAGCGTGCCCCCCCCCCCCCCCGTCTCTGCACGGTGCCCACCCCCACAGGGAGCGTGCGGGCACACGGAGCGAGCCTGGCTCACGAAAGCCATCCCTGGCTCATGGCACGTGCCCACAGTGGCGTTCCTCACCTGGGCCACTCGCCGTAGGCCACTCGCCGTAGGCTGCTCGCAAATGTCACCGCCGGTCTTATTTTACTCATCGTCATTTTCTTCTCTCTTCATGTCTCTCAGTGTCTTGTAGCGGTGATGATTCGACTTGACGTGAAGCCTTGTACGCGGCAAGCGTGCGCCGTATTCTCTGTAGGGACGCCCGTGGGGAATGGCGCCCGCGTCATCTGTCACGGCAGTGCATGGATGCTGACGATCGTTGCCAGTTTGCACAATGCGGCGTTTCACCGACACCGCCTTCCATTGGCCCATGGCAGTTTTAATCTAACTCAGAAATGTTCCGACCTTCATTATTCACCATAATTAGTATTTTTGTCTCGAGTATTTGAGTGCTGGCCTCGCCGTAGCCGGTGAGGAGTGAAACAGTTGCGAGTTAAGCCAAGGCGCTGGGTTTGTTCCGTGACATGGATGTGGAGAGTACTTGGAGAGTACATTGTGAACTCTCCTGTTCTGCTGCTTCAGTTTTACATTTGTGGAGGGGCTTTATGTTCCTATTTGAGTGTCAGCATTACTAAGAAAAAAATATAAGACGTTTCAGGGTATTTTAAATTCTGTTTCAATAGCAATTGATGTGACTTGCATGCGGCGCCAGTGAGGTGGGATGATAAACGAGTTGCAGACCTCTCTGTAACGTGGGCACATGGACACCGAAGAGACGTGCACAGAGAGACACAGAAACAGACGCACAGAACCGTTACGCATCCCTCACGCACTTGTTCCCCATGAAGCCATCGCTGGGCAGAAGGGAGGGGAATTCCATAGTCAAGTTATTTTTTACGTACTTTTTGTATATTGTGCAACTTTATGAATGGATGAAACGAGTTGAATCCAATTGTGATTTATCATCGACCTTGTTCTGCTCACTGCTGTGTCGTCACAGGGGGCTGATGTTTGAGAGCAGCCACAGCGGTGTGGCCTACTTCGGTGGGGTGTGCTCCCTGCAGCGCGGCGGTGGCGTCAATGAGGTGTGTGGCATGAGCTGCCTCCGCACGCACGGCCTTCACACGCATGGCTTCTGCACGCACGGCCTTCACACGCATGGGTTCTGTACGCACGGCCTTCACACGCATGGGTTCTGTACGCACGGCCTTCACACGCATCGCTTCTGCACGCACGGCCTTCACACGCATGGGTTCTGTACGCACGGCCTTCACACGCATGGGTTCTGTACGCACGGCCTTCACACGCATCGCTTCTGCACGCACGGCCTTCACACGCATGGGTTCTGCACGCACGGCCTTCACATGCATCGCTTCTGTACGCACGGCCTTCACACGCATGGGTTCTGCACGCACGGCCTTCACACGCATCGCTTCTGTACGCACGGCCTTCACACGCATGGCTTCTGTACGCACGGCCTTCACACACATGACCCTGAGTTGTTTGTGGAAAGCAGGGATCGCTGTCTCCGCATGATGACTCCTGTTGACTATGTTCTCCCGGCACGACAATTGAAACACAGGGCACGCTTCTTAAATCTCCATCACCGCCCCCGTCCACCAGCAGTGGGTTCACCTCGTCGAGTCTGTGATCAGCAGGTCGCGTGCGGTGGGGTAAAGTGTGGGTACGCCCACCTCTTCCAAAATGCCTCGTCAGAATCGATGAATAGACCAAATACCTTTTGGAGTTCTTTCTAGTGGAGGCCCCTTTTGCCAGCAGCGGCATGAGCAAGCAGTTTCAGCGCTGCACCGCTACCTTTTAGCGGGCAGAGACACGAGGGCAAATGAACCGCGTGCTGACTTAGTCCGCGGTCCTGATTGGACGTTCGTATGTGCCAACCGGTTACCAGTCCCAGACTTATCAGTTAACAACCCTCGTCCCTGCTAAGTGGCTGCTGCCTGACTCTGAAAGCAAGCGCGTGATGTGCTCGTGGTGTTTTACCCTGTTTACGTGTGCGTGCTGTGGACACTTGCATTGTTTGTAATCTCACAGTATGGGAATGTCGGAGCCATGGTGGTTACTTTGGCCCAAGGCATCGGGCAAAACCTTGGTATGCTGTGGCACAATTCTAAAGCAGCAGCAAGTGAGTTTCTCTCTTCCAATATTCACATCATTAAACAAGTGTCCCATTTCCCAAAGAGAAGTTCAGAGTGTCTGCTATGATGACAGGACAATAATTTGTTTACAATTCAATTTGTATTTCGGAACCAGCTACATGTGATCCTGTCCTCATGGCATTGTACAAAGGCAGATAGGCATCAAAGTGTTGGTGGAGGATGATCTGGAAAAGGGGGTGATTACTTTGCCAGCTAAACCAACACCAACCCTGTTGCTCATCCTAAGTGTGACTGTAAGTGAACCAACACAGTTGATATATTGATCAAGATATGTATATGTACATTATGTATGTAAACTGTGGCCCAGCGGCGCTTGTTCAGGTGGTTCGAATCTTCGTTAATACTGTGGTGGGTTTTAATTATCTGTCTGCTTCACTCAAGAGTGTACGTAAAATGCCCCAGGATGTCATTCGAAATTATCTGGCAAGTTTGTGCCAGCGTTATGGTCTATATTTTCCAAATGAAAAAAATGACACCGCAAATCACACCTCAGTTGAGATCACAATCATCGCCGCCTACTGGTCGATTATATAACTATTTACTACTATTTTCTTTTACTAGGTAAGGCCCACTGAACTATGCAGCTCTTTTTCAGAACCCACGACTTCCTGTATACCAGGCGAGGTAGTTAACATCTCGCCACCGTGGTGCCGTGTGCAGAGCTGAGTCACCTTGTGCTACCTTGTGCCACCTTGTGCCACACAGGGATACACTTCCATTCGGGGGTCCCCGAGGCTAAAAAGACAAATGTGCTCTGCGACATTTTGTTAAGTTATGGGGGCAATGTAATGCACGTGTCAGTATAATATCATTATTGTTATTATTCTTTTTAAGGAGTAGTGGATGGCTGTGCTTGGTTGACTCGGTTTGCGTGCACGTTCCGGGTTGCATGATGTGCCGCGCGTGACCTCTGCTGCAGGAGGAGGAGGCTGCCAGTGCACCGACATCTGGTACGGCTGCATCATGGAAGTCACTGGGTGAGTGGCAATGCCCTTGTTCTGTGGGCACAGGGTCAGATTCTTGGAGGCAGTTTTAATAAAATAAACAATGGGCTTGATGATAATGTATGTGTGATTCACTTATGGGCTTTTTCAGGTCCACCTTCTAGATTCCTTCTATTTGCAAAGGAGTATTCATTATTTTCTGGTCTCTGCTAGCTGCAGACTCGAGTAGATGCTCATCTAACTCTGATGCCAAATGTTACCAAATATTTTCTCATCTCTGCCCCTCCTAACTTATGATTCCAATTTGCATATCCGAATGATGGAAAGTGACCTCTCAGAAGATTTGTGCAGTGTATTATTATTACGTCATCGTCGTTATCGTCGTCATCGTCGTGGGCTAGTCCACCTTATGCTGTGTGCACCGTGCCGCGCTCAGTGTGCACATGGTAGCACAGAGCCCCGAGTCGTGCCCGAGGTCCAAAGCAGACGACGAGCCATGAAAACACACTCCAAGCAACTTGACTGTGCGTACTACACAGAGGATGGAGATCCAATTTCTTGAATAACAGATCCTTTCTGTCATTTGAAAGCAAATATATATATTTTTTTAAAATATCCACGCATTGCCACGATGAAAATGTTGCACACTCGACATGAAGGACGTGGGAAGGTGCTCCAAATCGAGGGCATACACATTTATTGTGGTCAATTTGTAAAATGCAACAGCACGTGTGTCACACACAGCAATCCTCAAGCGAGTCGCCAGTAACCACGTGACTGGTGTACAAGTCCGGTTAATCAATAACCCTGCCAGCCACCCACAGGCCCAACTCAGTTATCGCATGCTGGTGTACACACGTGCATTGATGTACTACACAGCACATAAAGACTTTCACAAAACCATACTTTACTCCCTTGCTGTACGAGGAAATAATTAACGTGCCACAAACAGACCTGTCGTGTTGCTAAATAGACACTTCACATTGTGAACATTTTAGAGTGGGCCAGTGCTTCATTAAAAGGGATCACTTAATTGATGGCGTAAGAGCGGCTGATGATGACAACAGCTGATAGAGGTGGACTAATGAGACATGTGACTGTTTACAAATCATCACCCCAAACATCTCCCACACCAGCTCCGTATCGTCTCCACGGTAACGCCAGCGATCCGAGCGCCCTTCCTGCTCCTCGCCGCTCGGCGTTCACTTCACACTCGGCACCAGGGCAGGCGACGCTGTCCGTGATGCCTCTCATCGGAGCACTTTAAGCCAGGAAATATTTAAAGAATTTATTTGGCTTTGGCCAAAGGAATATATTTTTGTATAATGCAATGGTATATGTTTGGTATCTATGTGTAAGAGCATACTTAACGGTAGCAGGGCATGCCTCACTGCAGGAAGAGCCTGGGTTCGACTCACGATTCAGGCGCCTATCTGTGTGGAGTTTTAACTTGATTTGAAGCTTTCGTGACTGCAGGAATTACTCTTTGGTTATTTCGGTAAAGTCACGTAAAAAGAAAATAAATGAAATAATAGAGTACGACGTTTCGATTGCAACACAAGCAACCATCATCAGGTAGAACTAAATTTGAGAGAGAGACAAAACACACTGTCTGTGTGTCTCCGTGTCTGTGTTTTGTCTCTCTCTCAAATTTAGTTCTACCTGATGGCGGTTGCTTGTGTTGCAATCGAAACGTCGTACTCTATTATTTAATTTATTTTATTTTTGTGTGGAGTTTGTTCTCCACCTGTTCTGCGTGGGTTTCCCAGTGTCTTCCCATAGCTGAAAAAACTTCACAAAATGTAACTCGTATTGGCCAAGCATCCCAGTGACCTGAAAACTACTCGTTTGGGATTACACGCAGACTAACATCGCCTCCATCTGGGAAATCTTGGCAGGACCCTCCTGGTTAAGAGTTGAGGTTTTGAGGCATTCCTCGGTAAACAAGCGTAACAATAACAATCATACAAACATAGATTTTCCTTGTGTTTGTCGCGAGATCTCAACCTCCTCCCGATACTCATATCTTTATAACTAAGTGTAATTGTAGTCAGGTGCATCGAATAGCGCTTTTCACAATCCTGAATATCAGATGCCACAGTATCTCTATAAGAGGCCATGTTCTTTGTAGCACGTAAATAGAGGCCACAGAGATGTCTATAATGTTGACACGCTGGCATCTTTGACGTTGTAATGACCAAGTAGACGCGACGATCACGGGCCCAGCCAGCACTCCGTGTGGCCTATCACCTGCACGAGCCACTGCCCACATTTGCTTAATATGGACTGTGAAATGAAATGGAAAAAAAAAATGTATTCAGACATGAGAGACGAGATGGTATTAGATCCATCTGGATGATATTTGAGAGTGCGGATAGGAGAGAGGTTACAGGATGTACTGTGTTCGAGTGGCGTAAGAGACCGATGATGGGAGTCTCGTGCACAGCGAGAGGTGGGTGCCTGTGCTGAGTGGCCATGCTGAGTGGCCGTGCTGTTGTCATGCCCTGCAGGCAGATGTTGCCCATGAGGTTCTCGCAGTGCAGCATCGATGAGTACCAGGAATTCCTTCAGGCTGGGGGGGGAGCTTGCCTCTTTAACAAGCCCACACAGGTACCCACACTCACTCCAGGTATCCACGCTCACTCGCTCACTCACTCCAGGTACCCAGTCTCGCTTGCTCGCTCACTCCAGGAACTCACACTCTCACTCACTCACTCCAAGTGCCCACACTCACTCACTCCAAGTGCCCACACTCACCCCAATTATCCACACACACTCCCTGACGAACGTGGAGCAGTCCCCTGTGATGGCAGAATTAAAGACCCTGCATCATTTCCTACTCTTGAGTGTCCGGGTCACAGCTCAAACCCCCAAGTTCAATATTACGCAAATCTGTTTGTGAATTACCCACAAGGGACAAATCCGATGCCGAGATGGACGTTGGAGTTGTCCTCGTGAACCTGGCGACCACGGGGAAGAGCCAAACCAGACGGTGGTGGCAGACCGGCAGGGTGGAGGGTAGAGAGTGATGGTGTGGGGACATCAACGGCTTTGGCCGCGATGACGTCTCAATCTTGAAATGCCAATAGTTTTTTAGCTATTCTTTCACAGAGAAGCAATGCATTCCAGTGTGCTGTCACCCAGTTAACACCTGATGATGATTGCTTGTGTTGCAATCTAAACGTCGTGATTTAATTTATTTTATACCTACGTGACTTTACCGAAAGAACCAAAGAGTATGTGCAAAGCGTTGAAATCCGCGTGAGATGTACTCGCCGGTTTAAAAGCCTGCGTCGTTGCCGTACTATGCTGTGTTGCAGCTGTTCGAGCAGCCCGAGTGTGGCAATGGCTTTGTGGAGCTGGGAGAGGAGTGCGACTGTGGCTCGCCCACCGTGAGTCGTGCAGCCATTGCACACCGAGCAACGGTGATCGCGTAAAGAGAAGGGGATTTCAGGCAGCAGTGCTATCTCTATTACTGTGTGAGTTAGAGAGCTGGACATTAACTAAGTGGCTCGAAGATACGTTGTTGGCATTCGAGCCCAGGTGTTTAAGATGGACGCTAGGATTGTTGCGGTTTGATAGGATAAGCAACGCGTGAGTTTGGAAGAGAACGCGACATGTGTGTGTTGTAGGTATGATGAGGCATGTGCAGGACAGGTGAGGGTCGGCTGAACAATATTCGTGCAGTGAGTCGCTAACAAGAGACGAGAGATGCATCGTGAGGTGCCGCCTGCCTATCGTGTACGGCAGCGGGAGACACCTTCCCCTGCCAATTCTAACGATTGCCCCTGTAAGGTGATGAGCGTGGCGTGCTGTGCCCCGCATGGCAGGAGTGCAGTGAAGGCTGGGACAAATGCTGCAAGAAATGCACCTTCACGCACGGGGCCATTTGTAGCAGCGGCCTGTGCTGTGCCCCCAACAGCTGCCAGGTACAGCCACCTCTCCTCCGCCGCTTCACCACCGCCCGCACCCCTGGCACCCACTGAACGCATCCCTCATACCTGCGTCCTCGTAGCTCTCTCCTCCAGGCGTTGCGTGAGGATTAGTTTACTACTCTTTAACAACAACAATGCTCGATACCAAACCAGCTGCTCACTGCTATGCAAAATCAACATTACCGATTTTGGGTGCTGAAAAATCCAGAGTTATGTAGTGGAGCCTACCATCACCATTGATGAAAATCGCCAGGAAATCCACACGTGAGCGTGCGCGTGTTATTCTGTGGTACCTGCGTGCTTCAGGCCATCACCTGTGCACTTAGACACTCGCGTTATATCTACAATACATGCGTGCACAGTGCCGCATGCTGTCTGCACAAAAGTACGCCGTGCCCTATGAGCAGCGACACCGCTGTTTGGCTCCACTCTTTTCCCTTCCCGAGTCAAAATCACTCGCCATAGTGGTTTGGACCGCTGGAGCGATGTTGTCGTTAAACAATAGGCCCGCACAGAAAATACAAAACGCCTCTTGCTTTTAGCTGCTCCATTACCAAGGCAATCTGTACCTTTTCCCTTTTACGTATAAATTTGCATCCGTATATTTCAACTGAGGGTTCATTGGGTTTTGCTTACAAATATTCACCCTAATGCCGTGTGCGGTTTGCTGTTGCCCACTGCTCTCCAGGCCGTGCACGCTTGACCCCGCGTTTGACCCCGTCAGGGTTCTGTGCTATGTGCGCCGCGGTCATGACGCAGCTCGGCCGGCTTTCATTCGCAGACTTCACATCGGCGTGTACGACGTGGTGTTTCTCTGGCTAAAAAACGCGGTCGAGAGTTGAATAAGGAAGAGGCTGGGCACTCTGTGTGGCGCATGGGTGACTTACAACAACAGGAAGAGCCCCCCCTCATGCACTCATCCTCCCAGCGCATGGACGGTGGCTGAAACGTGCACGCGTGACTGTGCAATGAGCACTGCTATTTAAAATCATGAAATCCGTGTTATTGCAAAAATAGAATCCTTAATTATTTTATGACACTCAGGAAAATCACCTCACGCAATTCGTGTGTCAGGTGATTTGCGGCATTTGTTCATATTGCCGCATTGTCGCCATGTGGCCATAGGTAGAGAAACCTGCGCCGTTGTGTGAATGATGCACCTGATGCTCACGTTTGGCGTGCCTCAAAACCGTCAATTGCTCGATCCGCTGTGGTCGTCGTGAACCTCTTCTAAACGTGCGATCAAACAGTCGCGGGTTTGTAATTCTTCAACTCGATTTGATCTCCCTCTTTAAATAGAAGACTTATCGAGGTATTCTTCCACAATTAAGTTGCAGTGTAAACGTTGGCCGTGGAGTTTTAGTGAATTTGCATTGTGGCATCGTGAGACCGCGAGTGAAAGTGACATGTGGAAGGCTTCAATGAACTGTGGCTAGAGCGTAGTCGTTCAAGATGATAGTGCTGATTTGACACGAGTGGCCGAGTGTATGTGCACAGATGAGTCCCTGCCTGTAAGGGAGTGATGGTCTGTGCATGTGTGACGTCAGTTTATTACTCGCGGTGAGGAGTGCCGCCACGCCGTGGGGGAGTGCGACTTGCCCGAGACCTGCCCCGGCGACTCCGTGCAGGTCCACGCACTAAGCGCCACACGCCCTCAGCGCCACACCCACCACACCCTCTCCTTCTCTCTCATAGCAGTGCCCTGCCACACACCACACCAGATCGTTACAGGGGAGAACAAACAAACCTCACCTCACTGCCCTTACAGAAAGGCGCCCGAGTCGGGAATCGAACCCAAGTTATTTACGCCATGCAGCGCAAGTGTTATCACTGAGTTGCGACCCATATGATTCTTTAAAAATGGATGATACGTTCATAGGCTGTGTATGTATGTTTGAGGGAGAGGAGGAGTGATGGTCAGTAAGCACACGGTCCAATTAGTCAAGAGACCTCGGTCATCTACGTCCTGGTTAACAGAAGTTTGAAGCTGACAGAGCTGGTCAGTGTCAACTCGGCTTCAAGTAAATGGCAGATGCAGCGTTATCAACACGAGTGCGGTAGAGACAAAGGCAGCCCAGGAGTATGCTGTCCACGCGAGCTGTTTACCACCAGGTTATTTCATGAAAGTGTAAACAGGCCCACCGTCTTTAGCCACTTTACAACTGAGGGCTTGGAACAAGTGGGGCTGTGCCCACACACACACACACAGCGTGCCCACGCACTCGCACAGCGTACGCACACACACACACAGCGTGCCCACGCACTCGCACAGCGTGCCCACGCGCACACACACACAGCGTGCCCACGCACTCGCACAGCGTGCCCACGCAGTCGCACAGCGTGCCCACACAGTCGCACAGCGTGCCCACGCACACACGCAGTCGCACAGCGTGCGCACGCACTCGCACAGCGTGCCCACAAACTCGCACAGCGTGCCCGGTACCGTGGACTCGTCCCACCGTTACACTCAGACTCATTGTGTTTGATGTTCACGTGCTTTTCACATTTTGTCTGCACACGTTTTTTCAATTCTCGCTAACTGCCTGAGGGTGGATATCATGAGGAAATGTTCAATTTGCAGATATAAACTTTATAGCATGATCGTTTTATTTTGCTTACATCAGGCCTTTATTAAGCAGTAGATGATCTATGTCATTTAAACATTGCTAAGTTATCGACCAAGGATAGTTTTCTAGTCTTGTTTGAGAGCTGTCTCAATATCTATGTAACAGGCTTGAAAGCACGAATATAAACAAAGGCGCTGATTATTTATGGTACGGTAGCTGCTGGTCTCACGGTGTTCCAGTTTAAATGGATTTGCAATTGAAACTTAACTTTTTTCATTTTGTGTGGCTTGTGTTGTCTTGCTGCTCAAGGCATTCACCATTATCAACAATCGTATAAGAAAATGTGTTTTTGATTTTTACTAATAACTGAAATGTTTTGCTATTTCTATACAGTGTCCCCCAAATGTTCACAAACAAGATGGCTACAGCTGCAACAAGGATGTAAGCACTGCGACGGTCACCTTCCACTCGGCTCCCAGCCACATCGAGTTCATGATACCGACTCTCTCATGAAGCCCTCTTTTGGCCGGCACACCTCCACATTGGCATTTAGCTGCTGCACATCTTGCTGCCATCTGCAAATAGAATCCCTCTGGGGTTGACAACATGAGCACTACTTTGTGGGGGTGTCAATAGCTGGTGTTCTATGGATAGACTCACCCCTACCATATGAATGTGTAATTTTCATCACTGGCTCCAGGCTGTAAATGGTAGAGGAGCACCACCTCACCGCTCATTTTAGCAGTTAATAAATTTAACTTTAACTATTTGTTGTATTTATTGCTGTCAATGCTTTTCTGATGATAGTATTTGGACAATGAATACCAGCCCAGTGCAGTGGCATATCGGTGCTGGTTATGTTAAATATATCTGTTCACAAAACGTGCGACTTCCCATGGGACCTCATGCTGTTTGCATGAGCCAGTGCACCTTGGGGTCAAAGTGGTGACGTCTTCCAGATGGTCTCCTGCATTGATGTATTGTGTGGCAGGTGTCTACAATTGTAACAAAAACGTTATAAGATTAGTCACACTCTAACTAATGAAGATATAGTTTTCATGTTTTTAAATGTTAGTGTCTCACATGGTAAAAACTCTTTAATTTAACCATTACAATGATAATTGTGTTGTTTTCCAGGGGCGATGCTACATCGGGCAGTGCAAGACTCGGGAGAAGCAGTGCAAATACATTTGGGGAGACAGTAAGAGTCACACTCGCCTGTTCTTACTGCAACCTCACAAGAACGCACACCCAGCACAGACTCAATACACACCTACTGCTGCTGCTCCATACACCAAACAAGGCCTAAGATCCCCCGAGTTGCCTTAAAGGATATTGGGACAAGTGCTATTAGCAAGTGGCACCTATGAAGGCCTTATGGCACATGAGGGGGCGTGTGGCCAACACCACGCCCGCCCGCCTTTGTCTCCATTGCGGCGATGTTTACACACCGCACCAGACAAGCATTTGAGGCTGAGTTGACCTAGGCGATGCCTAGGACTGGTTCAGATAAATATAATCGTCACTGGTGGTGGCCGTGAGCGGGAATCGAACTTGGGTCGTCTCATTAAAAGACCGTTACAAAGGAGGCACCTCTATAACACGGCACCTGTACACTCCTCTCTCTCTGCTCACCACTTTTTGTATATGCCTCTCTCTCTGTTTACATCTCTCTGTTTACATCTCTCTATTTACATCTCTCTGTATATGCCCAGTAACCACAACTTGGGGTCCTCTAGACCCCTGGTAGTCAGAAATGTCACCTCACTACGCTCCACATTGATGTCAGTCTCCGAGGGGTTTCTTAATTGATGAGTCCTCCAACAGTTTATTAATTGATTAGTCCCCCAGCAGTTTCTTCATTGACGAGTCCCTCAGCAGTTTCTTCATTGACGAGTCCCCCAGCAGTTTATTAATTGATGAGTCCTCCAGCAGGTAGGAGGTGACCTGAACCCAAACCCTGAGACATATACTGGGCACGTGTTCATCTACGTTGTGCACACTCCACGTTCACTCTCGCCGGGCATGCACACCGTGCGCGGGATTCGCATTGCTCGCGCCCAACCTGCACGTATGCACTCCAAACAAAACCTGCACACTACGCTGGTGGATAAACACTACCAACAAATACACTGCACGTATACACGCAGGTAATTAGTCTGTCGACGGTCAAGCAAGCGCACACCGTCATAATTCACCTAAGGATGTCTGGCTAAAGGATAAAACCCTGATGTTAAGATCACGAGCGGAACATCGCAATGAGGCCGAGATAAGTGTGTGCATTAAACACTCAGTGCTAAGCAAGTGACAGCTTGAAGCCCTATAGCCGGAGCAGACAAAGCTGATGCTTTTTCAGCAGTGTGTTTTGTTGCCCTCTCATCCCAGGCAGCATAGCTCTTACAGCAAGGCATCTGTTGGATGCCGATTGTTGCACGTTAGGCGAATGCATTACGGAAGAAAGGACCTCTGACGAGAGTGCTTTCCGGTATTGAGTGGCGATGTACCGGGGTCCAGAATGTACATTTTAAATCCCACTCCATGTAAATGCAAAGTAAGACTTATTACCTCCACATTATCCAATGCCTGAAATGTACAATGGACTTCAGTTCGTGATTGATCAAAGTAGCGTAATTCATGCACGCGGCCTGGCACACTGCTGTAGAGGGAATGCTACATCAGCCGTCCGTTGTAAACAACATGAGTGTCCGTTGTATGCCAGTTGCATTGCCCAAATTAACTTCGTGCAATCATTTCTCCTAATCCTTCTCATGAAACTTCTCAGAAAAATACCGTATACCGTATAAAATACCGTAAAAATATCGTACTAGGAATCCTTTTATTTTCATTTCACGCAGTTGCTGAGCACAGACCAAAGGCCTCACAAAGTCAAATGTCCAGCAACTAACAGCACTGTCCAAGTTTTAATAGATAAGTTAACTAGTGTCGTGAATTGAGCGAGGTTATGATTATACACTATGTAACACGATTTTTGTTCCTGGGTAGTAAGTGTTATTTTCTAATTGATTATGCCTCAAAAGTATAGAAAATGGTTATTATTCCCCACAAACTTTGCTTTTGTGACCAGGACTTTGTGAAGGCATAACACAAATGCACACCACGTTTTCTTATTGAAAATAGGTAAATTTAAAAATCTCAACATCCTGGTCACAAAAGCAAAGTTTGTGGGGAATAATAGCCATTTTCTGTACTTTTGAGGCATAAGCATTTAGGAAGATGCGGTGGAAGGGAATTACAAAGTGAAGCAATGCGAGGGAAGGAGCAGGAAGTGAAGTGCGGTGACGTGCGGTGTGCTGACGTGCGGTGTGCTGACGTGCGGTGTGCTGACGTGCGGTGTGCTGACGTGCGGTGTGCTAACGTGCGGTGTGCTGACGTGCGGTGTGCTAACGTGCGGTGTGCTGACGTGCGGTGTGCTAACGTGCGGTGTGCTGACGTGCGGTGTGCTGACGTGCGGTGTGCTGACGTGCGGTGTGCTGACGTGCGGTGTGCTGACGTGCGGTGTGCTGACGTGCGGTGTGCTAACGTGCGGTGTGCTGACGTGCGGTGTGCTGACGTGCGGTGTGCTGACGTGCGGTGTGCTGACGTGCGGTGTGCTGACGTGCGGTGTGCTGACGTGGATGGATCAGTATTTGTCACTGTGTGATAATGAGGACGTAGTATACAGTGAGGGAAAAAAGTATTTGATCCTCCGCTGATTTTGTACGTTTGCCCACTGACAAAGAAATGATCAGTCTATAATTTTAATGGTAGGTTTATTTGAACAGTGAGAGACAGAATAACAACAACATCCAGAAAGACGCATGTCAAAAATGTTATAAATTGATTTGCATTTTAATGAGGGAAATAAGTATTTGACCCCTCTGCAAAACATGACTTAGTACTTGGTGGAAAAACCCTTGTTGGCAATCACAGAGGTCAGACGTTTCTTGTAGTTGGCCACCAGGTTTGCTCACATCTCAGGAGGGATTTTGTCCCACTCCTCTTTGCAGATCTTCTCCAAGTCATTAAGGTTTCGAGGCTGACGTTTGGCAACTCGAACCTTCAGCTCCCTCCACAGATGTTCTATGGGATTAAGGTCTGTAGACTGGCTAGGCCACTCCAGGGCCTTAATGTGCTTCTTCTTGAGCCACTCCTTTATTGCCTTGGCCGTGTGTTTTGGGTCATTGTCATGCTGGAATACCCATCCACGAGCCATTTTCAATGCCTGAGGGAAGGAGGTTCTCACCCAAGATTTGACGGTACTTGGCCCCGTCCATCGTACCTTTGATGCGGTGAAGTTGTCCTGTCCCCTTAGCTGAAAAACACCCCCAAAGCATAATGTTTCCACCTCCATGTTTGACGGTGGGGATGGTGTTCTTGGGGTCATAGGCAGCATTCCTCCTCCTCCAAACACGGCGAGTTGAGTTGATGCCAAAGAGCTCCATTTTGTTCTCATCTGACCACAACACTTTCACCCAGTTGTCCTCTGAATCATTCAGATGTTCATTGGCAAACTTCAGACGGGCATGTATATGTACTTTCTTGAGCAGGGGGACCTTGTGGGCGCTGCAGGATTTCAGTCCTTCACGGCGTAGTGTATTACCAATTGTTTTCTTGGTGACTATGGTCCCAGCTGCCTTGAGATCATTGACAAGATCCTCCCGTGTAGTTCTGGGCTGATTCCTCACCGTTCTCATGATCATTGCAACTCCACGAGGTGAGATCTTGCATGGAGCCCCAGGCCGAGGGAGATTGAGAGAGCTCTTTGGTCTTGGCCATGGTGGAGAGTTTGGAATCTGATTGATTGATTGCTTCTGTGGACAGGTGTCTTTTATACAGGTAACAAGCTGAGATTAGGAGCACTCCCGTTAAGAGTGTGCTCCTAATCTCAGCTCGTTACCTGTATAAAAGACACCTGCGAGCCAGAAATCTTTCTGATTGAGAGGGGGTCAAATACTTATTTCCCTCATTAAAATGCAAATCAATATAACATTTTTGACATGCGTTTTTCTGGATTTTTGTTGTTGTTATTCTGTCTCTCACTGTTCAATTAAACCTACCATTAAAATTATAGAATGATCATTTCTTTGTCAGTGGGCAAACGTACAAAATCAGCAGAGGATCAAATACTTTTTTTCCCTCACTGTAAGGCAGCACACATTCGTTGCAGTGTGGATTCAAATATGAATCTCGCTTGTCATTTGGAAGCATGTCTTTGATCGGGCAAACAGCTCACGCTATCCAAACTTACATTATTCAAAATATAAATTTTATTTCATACATCCGGGCTGTAATTATTGACATAATATGCAGTTGTTTTATGCATCTTGTTACCAGCATTATTATTAACGATTGGCAGTCATTTGGATGCAGAGACACCCAGAGCTGCAAGTGCGCTGATGCCATGCTCTGGCCTTTGCGAGGATCAAGGGCACGACTGGCCCCTTGCACGGGACATGTACCGTGATAGGAAGCCCGCCCGCCCCTCTATTTGCACGCTCCCCGCTTGGCCTCGGCCAACTGTCGAGCTGCCGTGTTGTTCAAGGCGAGCGCATGCTGTGACTCATCTGGCTGAGGTTAGCAGAGCTGCAGGGCTAAGCTGGAATTATTATGCACCCGTTGAAGGAGCAGAACCTTGATGCCATCAGCCTCATCGTGCTGCGTCAATCCGTCACCAAGAGCAGACGAGAACGTTTGATTGTTATGAGACTGCTACAACTGCACACATTATGAAGCATGATGTGTTGAGCTTTGGTCCAATAATGTCATCCCTGTCACTGCTGGGATGTAATATTGTTTCTTGTAATATCATTAGATAGACTTGGTTAGACCGACACTTCAATATTATGTTGTAAAAATCATATCGAAGGTATCCAAATAAATGATTTCATTCACGTAATTTTTCGGTCAACAAATTGACTGTTCTTAAATTTGCAGAATATGACAACAGAGCAAGACGTTTAAGTGTATTTATTTAACCACATGATAACTTTAACAGTGTAGAATAATGAAAAGTAACACAATAAGGATAAACTATGGGCATATAAGAACTGCAGCAAGCTGGAGGAGAGTTGCATTGCGCCAACACGCTCCACATCTTCCATCGCTTTCCTGGTGATCCCCTTGGAGGAGTGGTAACACTCCACAGAGCGAACTTCACTCCCACTGATCACGAGTGTCATGGTAACAAGGGCATACACCAGCAGCGGGTATGAAGACTACATTGTGCCTCCATAATACAGGTATTTTTTGGGGGTTAGATTGCATTAATAAGTGTCGTTAAACCCGGTGTGCTGTACGCGTGCAATGGGTTCAACTGAGTCGCAGATGTAGACTTGGAGGCAACACATTTATTTAACTCCAACACACGGGGTAACTTCCCCTTAACAGACTAACAACATATGTTGGTGACCACCAGGCTAACTACACTAGTTACAACACTAGTTACTACACAAGTCACAACGGAACTGCTTCTACGGATCGGGACCAACAGCTTGGGTCCAGGTCCACGTGTTGGAGACTCGTTGAACAGAGAACACAGATGAAGGTTTCTTCCAGGATGAACAACAACAACCCTGGTCCCTCCCGGGACCCGGCTTATATTATCTGCGGCGTGGCCGGTTCCGCCCTTGGCCACGACCGCCTTCTAGAATCCTCGGGAAGGATCTCGGTCCCAACCACGTGACCACCCCTAGCCCTCACTTGGGGCCCTTATGTAGACTTGACTGGTCACGTGTCCTCCCGGGTCAAGCAGAGTGCCATGGCCTCGAGTAACCTCATCCCTCGGCCGGCACTCACACAGCCTGTCCTGTAGGGTGGGCACTGCACGCCAAGCGTGGTGCCACCCAGCGCTATCAATCAGCGCTCACCGGGCCCCTCTAGGGCCGCTACTACACCCACACCGCTGTGGTATCTGCGATGTCGCTACACTGCTACAGCGTGCCCCTCTAGGGCCGGTACTGCACAGTGACATCCCGTGATGTCAATCCACTCGTAACGAATTGGCATGTTCTGTTTACATGACAAACCTTACTAATTGGCTGTGTCGGGTGGTGGCGGTTTTAACGACACTTTTATATATTTACGCGATCTAACCCAAAAAACCCACGTATTATGGATGATATCGGTCGCGAAAGTCTACGTGTTATACATTGTGCCTGTTTGTGAAAGCATTTGCCCTCTCTTGTGAGAGTCAAATTCACGTTTGCAGATGCTAAACACCTAGAGTTTGTGTTGCAATAACGTCACTAATAAGCACGCACAGGGGCCTTTTGACACGCACACACAACAGCTGAACACAGCTATGTTTACCAGCCACATCGTCAGTGTTTTGTATGCGTGTGAAAATTCTTATTCACTGAAGCCACTTTGTGTGCACATTATGCAACTCACTTTGGTTGATTGATTTTTGGGTTGGGCCACGAAATAACCTGACCAGAATGTTTCGTAAAGACCCACCGCCACCTTACACAGTCAAACTAATGTAAGCTGTCATACGCACGAGCATGTAGTAGCGCCCCAGTTATTGTTTCAGCTCACTCACTGGGGAGCTGAATAACATTTCACAACTAAAAATAACGACATACATTTGTTCGGATCATTGTGGCCTCACCCAAGAATCCATTATGAATCAAAATATTGACTGCGAAATCCTACGCATTACGTTAACATTGATTTGCTCTGAAATGTTTCAATGCACGCTGTTTTTTTATGAAAGAGAACATTTACATTTGAGATTTAGATTATTTTTCCTTTCTTGAGACAAATAAAACAATGACAATTTGTTTTGGTTCAAAATGTTGACTCTGAATGCCTCATTATTCAAGATCAAGCTTTTCAAACAAGAAGTACACAGACATATTAACCTCAAACGCAACAGTCTGAAGTAGATTTAAATTTACATAACATTAGCATGTTTATTAGACATGCAAATGATTGCGTGCCATCGTATTTCCAAAAATGCGAGTGTGGGCAGGATAAACAGAAACGAGACGGTCTCTGTGATGGATTTTGATATTTGTTTAATGTTTTAATTTGCGTTGCTGTGCGTAATAATGCATATGTAATGTATATAATGAGCATCTACATTTAATGAGATAAAATACTGTATTCATTGTGACTTAAAGCTTTCGTGACTGCAGGAATTCATATTCTTTGGGTCTTTCGGTAAAGCCACGTAGATAGAGAAAATAATCAAAATAATAACACTATTACGACGTTTCGATCGCAACACAAGCAATCGTCCTGATATTATATTCTTAGTTTTTTCGGTAAAGTCACGTTGAATAGAAACATATATTTTATTATTTTGTTGTTTCTCTTCAACGTGACTTTACCGAAAAAACTAAGAATATGAATTACTGCAGTCACGAAAGCTTTAAATCAAAATTCGTCCTGATATTGTTACTATTTTGATTATTTTTTCTATCTACGTGGCTTTACCGAAAGACCCAAAGAATATGTATTAATTGTGTTATTATCATCCAATTTTGAGAACAAATGTGCGAGATTGATCAGGGCTAGAGTCTGCTGCCGGTAAGGGGCGATGGTTGCTGCTGCTCTGTAGTCCCACCTCAGGGAGCACTGGATGCAATGCTCTCGCAAGAGATCTACAAAATGTGCATTTAAAAAGCAATGACTAAAGGCAAGTGCAGCTTTTAACTGACAACGTGCATCACAATTTGTTTATAAAGCTGTTTTTAAAAACACACAATAATGAATTTCACTTGCATCAGTGTTTTCAATATGTGGACGAACACAGAACCTACAGAATCGCCTCTTGCACACAGCAACCCATCAGGACCATATCGCGACCTTCTGTAATGTTTCTATACTCTGCTGAAAGTGACTTGGGGCCCCATGATGTCCTCTTGCCTCGAACTTTATATAATTTGTTTACTCGGTCCCACAGTACTGATGAGACTTCGAGTGCATAGTCCAAACCAGTTCAAGAGTCAGCTGTTGAAATTGCCAGAGTCTGAAAACCGGTTGGTTGATTGATTGAGATGTTGTCAGTGACCAGATCTGTATTGTCGTTGGGCAAAGATTGGCGCAATTTTTTTCGTGAAACACATTTTAAGAGGAGAATACATTCGACTGAGTATGAGCAGTGTCGCCAGCATGCATCAGAAGGCGGTACACATGTTAGCCCAAGCGCCGGATGCTAGCGTCCATTGGTGCATTTGCGCATTTCTCTGCGTGCTTTTTGATGTAATCAAGCCCTCTGATAATACAAAGGCTGTTTTCATGGACTGGCCTGCCATGTTTTAAAGAGTCTCTCGTGAAGCAAGTTGTACGCATTGTGTGAAGCAAGTTGTATGCATTGTGTGAAGCAAGTTGTACGCATTGTGTGAAGCAAGTTGTACGCATTGTGTGAAGCAAGTTGTACGCATTGTGTGAAGCAAGTTGTACGCATTGTGTGAAGCAAGTTGGATGCATTGTGTGAAGCAAGTTGGACGCATTGTGTGAAGCAAGTTGGATGCATTGTGTGCTTTTTGCTGCACAGAGGGAATGTCGTCGGAGAGGCAGTGCTACGACAAGCTGAACATCGAAGGCACCGAGAAGGGAAACTGCGGCAGGAAGGAGGACTCTTGGTTACAGTGCAGCAAGCAGTGAGAGTCACAACACCGTCACTGCCGTGCATACGGAAACCCTTATGCATAAACCGTGCGTACACAAACCGTGCGTGCACAAACTCCACCCACTATAACATGTGTAGTAATATAGCACATTTGGTATTCGCGCCATTCTCATAGTGCAAGGCTATGGCAAAGGAAGGCGCTGTGTTTGACATAGTCTGCACTATTTTCACAGCAGGGAGCGATGTTGCTGCGTGTGTTCCCAATTGAGTATTTCGCAGGTAACTTTGAAAATTTGGCAAATTTTGAACAAGACGCAGGCACGTAATGCCCTACTCTTTTTTAATGAACTCGCGGGATCTTTAATATTCACCGAAATGTTGAAAAGCAACATTTTGGACACTTATGTTCACACATAATTCATGTTTCAGCTTATGAGCAGAAACACATTACATGGCGAGGTGTTCCTTTATCAGCGCTACCATCCCACCAGCTTTGGGGCTTCACACTACGTGGAAAACAGCACGACTCCAGCTGCTTTTCACAAAGTAAAAACCATTCGGATGCATTTCAGGGAAGGATTTAGCTGAGAAGTCTTCTGGTTTCCCATTAATTATTTATATCAAAGCGTGACTCGGGCCACGCCGCTGCTTTGACATCCACACTCAGTTTGTGCTGTGAGCCACGCTGTGCCTGTCTCGATTCCTGCGTTGCAGCGACGTGCTGTGCGGATTCCTGCTGTGCACGAACGTGAGCCGTGAGCCACAACTGGGCGAGCTGCAGGGAGACTCGGTCAAGGTCTCTATTCGACACAACGGCCATTTACTGGAGTGCAGGTGACTATTGGCATACACGCGTAGGCTTGCAAGGCATCAGAGATGGTCTGTGGCATGTACAGTGAGGGAAAAAAGTATATGATCCCCTGCTGATTTTGTACGTTTGCCCACTGACAAAGAAATGATCAGTCTATAATTGTAATGGTAGGTTTATTTGAACCGTGAGAGACAGAATAACAACAACAAAATCCAGAAAAACGCATGTCAAAATGTTATAAATTGATTTGCATTTTAATGAGGGAAACAAGTATTTGACCCCTCTGCAAAACATGACTTAGTACTTGGTGGCAAAACCCTTGTTGGCAATCACAGAGGTCAGACGTTTCTTGTAGTTGGCCACCAAGTTTGCACACATCTCAGGAGGGATTTTGTCCCACTCCTCTTTGCAGATCTTCTCCAAGTCATTAAGGTTTCGAGGCTGACGTTTGGCAACTCGAACCTTCAGTTCCCTCCACAGATTTTCTATGGGATTAAGGTCTAGAGACTGGCTAGGCCACTCCAGGACCTTAATGTGCTTCTTCTTCAGCCACTCCTTTGTTGCCTTGGCCGTGTGTTTTGGGTCATTGTCATGCTAGAATACCCATCCACGACCCATTTTCAATGCCCTGGCTGAGGGAAGGAGGTTCTCACCCAAGATTTGATGGTATATGGCCCCGTCCATCGTCCCTTTGATGTGGTGAAATTGTCCTGTCCCCTTAGCAGAAAAACACCCCCAAAGCATAATGTTTCCACCTCCATGTTTGACGGTGGGGATGGTGTTCTTGGGGTCATAGGCAGCATTCCTCCTCCTCCAAACACGGCGAGTTGAGTTGATGCCAAAGAGCTCCATTTTGGTCTCATCTGACCACAACACTTTCACCCAGTTGTCCTCTGAATCATTCAGATGTTCATTGGCAAACTTCAGACGGGCATGTATATGTGCTTTCTTGAGCAGGGGGACCTCATGGGCGCTGCAGGATTTCAGTCCTTCACGGCGTAGTGTGTTACCAATTGTTTTCTTGGTCACTATGGTCCCAGCTGCCTTGAGATCATTGACAAGATCCTCCCGTGTCGTTCTGGGCTGATTCCTCACCGTTCTCATGATCATTGCAACTCCACGAGGTGAGATTTTGCATGGAGCCCCAGGCCGAGGGAGATTGACAGTTCTTTTGTGTTTCTTCCATTTGCGAATAATCGCACCAACTGTTGTCACCTTCTCACCAAGCTGCTTGGCAATGGTCTTGTAGCCCATTCCAGCCTTGTGTAGGTCTACAATCTTGTCCCTGACATCCTTGGAGAGCTCTTTGGTCTTGGCCATGGTGGAGAGTTTGGAATCTGATTGATTGATTGCTTCTGTGGACAGGTGTCTTTTATACAGGTAACAAACTGAGATTAGGAGCACTCCCTTTAAGAGTGTGTTCCTAATCTCAGCTCGTTGAGATTAATTGTTATAAATCAATTTATAACATTTTTGACATGCGTTTTTCTGGATTTTTTGTTGTTGTTATTCTGTCTCTCACTGTTCAAATAAACCTACCATTAAAATTATAGACTGATCATTTTTTTGTCAGTGGGCAAACGTACAAAATCAGCAGAGGATCAAATATTTTTTCCCTCACTGTACGTATAGCGTTACTTGATTCTTAGCCATGAGATTTAATATTGCTTGATGTTTAAATGCACAACACTATCACAATATTGCTACTTACTCATATATATTTTTGTTATAAAGAAACAACCGTGTAAATTACTAATTAATATTTTCTTGTTTTATGAGCCTTGAAGCGCACTCTAACTTTTTGTTAGGTTTGGGGAGGTCAGGAGGGCTGCTCATTGTAACACCACTGTTTATGCTATAACAGTTTCAGCATTACGTCTGGCAATAGAATCAGGCTGATGTGCACAAAGTGTACACTTCAGCAGGGCATGTACCAGATTGTGGGTTTCTGGTGATGCCTTGCTACCTAAAATTCTCCGTATTGCTATTTTTGTGTTCTATTCTCCAGTCTCAGACAAAGAGGAAAAGTTTCAATCGTCCCATTTGGAATATAAATATTTTACCTGTTTTCCGAATTTGAAAAATACCTGGGACACGTATTTATGTATACTGAACCAATATACACACCTCTGCAGTCACACACATATACCCATGTGCATATATGCTTATATAATACGTCTATTTAAATGAAGTGTACTTTGTGTGAATGTGTTCGTATTGTGTTATTTCAGCGGTGGCCACATAATGCTGGCCGATGGTTCAGATCTGGGTTATGTTGAGGATGGCACGCCCTGTGGACCGGATGTCATCTGCCTGGACCACAAGTGCCAACCGCTTCAGGCCCTCAACCTGTCCGGCTGTCCCTCCGTCATCCAGGGCACCGCGTGCTCAGGACACGGGGTAACAGCAACTTGTGCAGACCTATTCTACCGCTCGTTCTTTTGTTCGAGGGCCCCCTCTCGATAACCTCATCCACTAATGAGGCAAGGAAGGAGGACATTTTATTTGTAATGGAGGGTCTTTCCCTGCAGCACTGTTAGACGTTAGTTTGGTCACCATTTGTTCTAAAGGCGGTGTGGATAAAGATCCCATGGATGCCAGGGGGCCGGGGTGTTTTGTATTGTTGTGAGATGCGACACTGGTCAGTGATGTGCAGTTTGACACTTCACACCTCCAATGAGACCGCCCAAAAACTAAAGGAAACAAAAGGAAAAGAGAGATGCCGAGGAGGAGGGGAAGGCTTAAGTTTCTTGAAGGCATAGGCCGTAGGAAAGAATAAGTGTTGCATTATGTGCATGCTGCATTCTGGTGTTGACCGAGTGATAGCTGAGCTCTGAGGAGGGTCAGAGACAGCTATTCATGAATGTGTGTCTGCAGAGGTACTCATCGGCTTAGTCTAGCACATCACCTTGACGGAGCGGGCAGCCCAAGGCCCCACTGCATGACCATCAGAGGCGGCAGGGCTTACGGCACCACCTGCCTGGAGTGTCCATGCTGCAAACGCCTTCAGATTTCGTTGCGGATGATTGTGGGGATTACAGATTTCTAATCGTAGATTTAAAAATGTTCCTTTTTTCTTCACCTGTCCACGCAATAAATATACTTCTTTACACAACGTGTTCAAATCTGTCGATTTGTTACTTCACTTTGATGAGCATTCACTTTGTAATGACAGTGTGTATTATGCCAAAAGAAAGCGTGAGGAATTTACATAAAATCCGTTTATAATTTGTATAATGTGCAATTAATTTGCAAGTGTGGTTCTTTGCTTAATTTTCAATTGTGCAAGATGTGCCTGTGCCTGCTTGCTGATTGCCCGCGTGTGTGCTTTTGCTGCCACAGGTCTGCAGCAACGAGGCGCGGTGCGTGTGTGAGCGGCACTGGGTCGGGAACGACTGCAGCATCTACAGCCCCATCCCAGAGGTGGTGCCCACCAAGGGGTCCGAGGGCCCTTCCCGGGGTTCGTATCTCTCTTCGCCGTACACGCAGCCTGCGGCACACACAGCATGCCATGCAGCTCTAGATGCAAACAAGTGTCGTTACAATAACACGTCGTGTTGTACGTCTACTAAACCAGGAACATAAGGGGCGGTGACATAGTGGTGGCGCAACTGCCGTCCGTTGCAGATGTTTATGGTTCGTACCTGGTAGGCCACCCTGGTTAATACCGCGGGTGAATGTGCTGCAGTAAAAGCCCTACGTGCCGTCTGCGTCAGAGAGGGTGTTAAAGATCCCGAGACGTTTTTCAAAAGGAGTAGGTCATTGTGTGTTGTCACGACGGTCCAATTGTGAAAATGACACCGCAAATGACTCTGCTGGGACTGCACACAGCAACATCACCCCTACTGTGGCACTACTGCAGGATGTGTCTGTGAAACACAGCACCTTCGCTAAAAGATCCACGTGGATTTTCAACGTGCTAAACTATCATTAATTATTTTTAATGTTGCACCAATATGATAAACCTGGCGAATTCTACCTCAGCCATAGTTCAGTCATTTAATGTGTGACAGTTCCCAGTTGCAGGTAAGTACATGTCCAAGGGGTCATAATGGCTTGCTGAGTGTTTATAATGCATACATTTAAGGATTAATTGAAGTAAATGTTTCAAATAATTATATAGTAGGATGACATTTCCCCACATTGCCAAGTACTACTGCAGTTTATTCAAGGCATTTCTTGATGAAATTGGAATGTAAGTAGTAATCATGTAAAATCTGAATCAAACATTGACATGAAAAGACTGTGCAGGCTATTTTCTTCTTTCCACAATGGCACGCAGCCCAGTGTGTTCATGGTTTTGGTAGTTAAAGAGAATTCCTATCAGCTGGAGGAGGCGAACAAGCAGTTTTATCATTGGACAAATTATAAAAAAAAACTGCTAGATGTGTTTCTTGGGTCATTCCAATATATTGATACATAAACAGTGAATAGTTTCAATAGAGCTAAAGAGATATAGACAAATGTAGGACTTAGACTGAATGTGTGAGTGTATCCTAAACCACACACCCACTGAAGTCACGGTGACATAAAAAATAACGCTTGTTCCAAAGGTTCTCGCTAAACCACAGTGTTCGTATAAAGGTGTAGTTATTGGATAGCCACTGTGTTCTTGCATTGCACCAGGCTGCAGTCATGTCCTGCGTTGAATTTACTGAGGAGGGAGACGTCTCTGATTATCTGGGGTTCGTTTGCAGGAATTGAGTCCTCCAGGTCCATTGCCTAGATCCCTTCTTTGTTACAAAGAGCTCGTTATCTTCACGTCTCTGCTCGCTGTGAACTCTCAATAGACGCTCGCCTCTCTCGTTCATTACTCCAATGCCAAATGTAACAGTCATCCTCTTGTGCTCGCCGTTATCTGCCGTTGTGTTGAAGTCCCTCACTGTGATCCCATCATTGGTTTTGCCCTCATATGAATGTGGTTTAGTTTCGTCACATTTTGTTGACGTCTTTACCTTCACGGCTTGTTGTTGGAGCACAGCGAACCGGCCAGGTGCCTCGGCGGTCGAGCGATCGCCTCCCAATAGGAAGGTCGCGAGTTCAAATCCTGGCTGAGAGTTTTAAGTCAGCCCATCATCCCTCTGGGGTCAATAAAATTAGTACAAATATATAGGGAAGTCAACAATGGTTTCCCTATGGATTTCCTTGCTGCTGCCATAGGAATGCGAATATTCCTCCACAGGCTGCGGGCACCCCTCATGCTGAAGTTGAGCAGGAATCACTTTGGAAATTTTCACTTGTAGAGAATCATAGTGTTCACTGTGATTTGCTTTCTAAAGTTTATTTAAGACTGGCTGTGGAGTGTTCAATTTGGCAAACTTGACCAGTCTCTTCACCAGTCTCTTGACCAGTCTGTATGAAATGTTTACATGTCAGAAGAATTATCTTACCCAGAAAAGAAACAATGTACAAGGTGATGCCACTCATACAAAGCTCAACTACATATAAAGTACTTCCTGTACTTAAATTTCTTCATTTAATTGTTTATTTCCATTCTAACTTGTGCGACTGCTTAATTCATTTTCGCACGTTTAATGTATTTGAGTGTTGCTGCTTTGCGCCCGAATCTTTTAATTTTGCGCGCCTAAAAGCCACTTCTCGTCCTGATTTGAAAAGCCCCAAGTGAGGAAACCAAGCAGCCATCTGCGATAAACTGAGAGTCCCATCCTTGCAACCGCATTTTCATTTACGAGTTTAAAACTAAATATATTCTTGCCTGATGCTGGGATCGCACTACAGCAATACGATAACCTTGAAGTTGTCCAAGCCATGTTTAGATGGGAATCGTTGTCTGTGCTTTGCGCACGGTGATGGAGCGGTGGCGCGGTGGTTTGCTCACTGCGCTCTGAACTGGCGACGTGAGATCAGTTCCTGAGCAGCCAGTGGTTTCTGAACTTGTCCTGGATACCCCGTTCACCAACCCGCACTGACCAGCGTGGTGAAGTATGGTCAAATAACCCCAATGTCCAATCCGGCTTGTGGAGGTCGTTGTCCAATGGTGGATTGACGCAGGACAATATGCAGCTTTCCGTGTATGTGTGTGACGGCTGTGTGTAGCTCTATATACAGGAACCGTAGAGCTCCGTGCACACATGACTAGGGTGTAACCACTTGACCAAGTTGAGAGTCACACACGAGGGGATGTGTACAACAGTACTGATCTTACCTTTTAAAAACACACATAGCTTTAGAATAGTCTTATTTTATCTATTTTCTTTATGCCTGTCTGCAGTACTATTTATCGACACACTTGTGAATTTGAGACGCCCATCCACAGGTGATGCGGTGGGTTTGAGTTGTCCGTGCTGATTGATGAAACGAAGAGGCTACTTTGATGACTAACATAATCACTCGCATTCTTGTTGGGAATATAATTAACAAAATACACAAGCAGACATTACGCCACCTCCACATATCTATCCCTTCACGTAAAAAAGAATTAAGTGTGGCGGGACTACTGTGCAGCCGCACTGTGCAGTAATGGGGGGAGCCCGGAGTCCGAGATTTCCACCTGGATGGCTTCCCTGCCCACGCAAACCGTGTTCGTGATGCGAGATGCATAGGTACCCATGTCTAGCAGAGAGGGTCATTGCCTTTAAAATATCTGGCAATTCACGAGCATTGGTTCAAGCAAGCCTGACCCAGCTGATAAGAGACTGAATGTCAAGACAGGTCAAACATTATTTTGCATTGAACCAATACTGCTGAAATTATGCTCGGCCAAAGGGCCGTGTGGCTACTGATGGGATGTGGAGGGACCGAATTGTCTTCGCGTTCATTTATTTACCACACGCATAGGGCCGACTGTGCCCCAGTGGTCTCACTGGTGGTGCATTTGAATGCATTGACGAGATAAACTTTTTTTCACTTAAACAGAGATTCAAACTCATGTTGTCCCAGTGTCGGGCACACACACCATAGGCACGTATCACCGGAGCACGTGCTGCTTTGGAGTTTGCTTGCATCTTCCTTGACATGTATCGTGTTAAACTCGGCCTCACAAATAGCAGCACAGTGCCAAGATAGTACTGTCTACAGGCATCAGTTTCTGCTGGGCACACTTTAACTGAAGCCGCTAATTAATTATTTTCCTCTTTTCAGTTAAATTAATTCTGCAACTTGGATGATAAATTTCATTTAAAGCTTGGGTACCGCCATCTTGAATCTGAGAGGGTTTTGCTGCGGGTGTTTTCCCTGCTTGAGGTGGCTACGCTGCGGTGCCCGTCCATTCCTCCTCGCCCCTAACACCTCCTTCACCTGCACCTCACGCTGCAATATTAACAGCTCGAGCTATTGTGTGACCAGTCTAATGTTGCCACCCTTCCCACCGACCAAATTCGAACACATTTCCCAGTCAGCTTAGGTATTTCAAAACCGTGCAGTATACTGCAGTAGACTTCATCACAATACCGGTACCAATTCCGGCCACCCGAACACATATGCCAATTCCTGGACAGTACGTGTTAAATCTGGATAGGTGGTAACCCTCGCCCTGCTAAGATGCCCCACTTTATGGAGCTCATTCCATTTGGCAAGCAGTCTGCATGGAGGACTGCAACCTGCTCCAGAAAATGTGGGCTGTAAAAAGTGACACATTCTGAAGCACGTGTAAACGAATCACGGAGTTGTTAAATCTCATTTTAACTGAAACCGCAGAAGGTGTTTAATCCTGTGCAACTTTTCCAAATAAATGGATTGTCAGACAGATGTAAGCACGAACAATGCTACATTAAAGATTATTATCATCAAGGCTGATGGGTCAAGACGCCAAAAGTATCCTTGAGATGTAGTGATAGAGGTACATATATTATTGGTGTTCATCAGTACTGAATCACAGGAGAGATTATATCGGAGCTCGTCTGAACTTGATTTTATGAGTGCAATTACAATTGTGGTGTTATATTTGACGTAATAAATTGTGTTGCTTTGCCCCCTCCCCCCATCCCTTTGGACAGTGAGCCAGGCCACTAACAAGCTTATAGGGGCAGTGGCAGGAACCATTCTGGCGCTGGGAGTGATATTTGGAGGAACTGGGTGGGGACTAGAGTAAGCATTTCCCATCAGTGGCACCCAGTGAACTCTGCTGAGTTTCATTCTTCCAGTTCGTTTTCTTTCAATTTATCGCAGAAAGGTGGAAACAACATTACACCGTTTTATTTACACGTGACGGTTCTTGTTCTTCAGCTTGTTGTCCCCGTGTGTGTTCAGCTTTGTGAGTCCCATGTCGTTGCCAGACGCCAGAGTTGTGCCCTGTGCCTTTGTCCCGTGTGCAGTGGTGCTGTTGGTGCTGTGATCTAATGTGTGCTCGTGATCCTTGCTGTCCTCTCGCCCTTGCATGCCTTCTCACTCTTTCTCTTCTGGGCGATTGTGGGGCATCACAATAGAAGTGGAGCAATATGCCTACGAGTGCCTACGAATGCAAAACTTTCACATTTCTTTCGGCATACGGCACCTAAAACACATTGTCACCTTGAGTTCAGAGTTCCAGGCCTCCCTGGATACTGTTACAAGCAAGAGTCCTTGAGTTATCACTGTTACATTATGTGTCTCTGTGGGTTTGTTAACATTTGGTTTCATACAGTTGCAGTTAAAAGGGCGATTTTGGTGGTCTATTCTCCTGTCTTCCCAATTTTAAGACGCAAATAACCGCAGTTTAATTTCGACGTGCGTCCAGGAACGGGCTGGACGCAGCGTGTCACCGGTACGTGTGGCTAAGGGGTTGCGCTCTTGTGTTATCCCTGTGCTGTGCGTAGCGTGTTTGGTGTGTCATCCCGATGTCGCCCCTCCCCTCCGCTCCCCTCCGCTCCCCTCCTGTCGCAGGTCCTAGTGCTGCCAATATCATTATAGGCTCCATCGCTGGTGCCATCCTGGTGGGGGCGGTTGTCCTGGGGGGGACAGGATGGGGCTTTAAGTAAGCACTGTGGCATGCTTCCTTTGACTTGCCTGCACTTTTCCTTACTAGCCTGGCTTTCCCTAGCACTGCTTTGCTGCTGCACTACACTCCGGGACGCGCGGAGGCAGACGCAAAACCGAGCACACGCACCGCACATGCATGCAGCAAATGCACGGCCATAGACGTATGGTGCGTGCCGCCCGCTTACACGCGTCACTCAGCCAGTGTACATACCACCAAGCAGCCGGTAAAATATCTACGCTATTTATTTACAAGACATATCGACGCGAATATATTACACGTATACATTCTAAAGGACACAATACGTGCAATATACACGCATCCTTATCGCGTACGTTTGTCTGCAGATGCGCTCAACTGTTGCCGTCTAAGGCCTGCACCCACACGGCAGACTCGCGCATTAAATACACGCCGCTGCCGCCTTTGCAAAACGCATCCCTTCTCGAGAGCAGCGTCAAACGAACGTGCGCAGAGAGATTCGTCGCTCGTTCCGTTGGCACGCACGCATCAGCCATGCGTCTAGTGGGGACTCGGGAGCAAAACGACGACGCTGCTTCTGAGCAGAAGTGTTGGGGAAACAATGTTTCTGCTGTCATGTTGCCACGTGCTATTGTTTGTGTATGCACGGTGTAACAACGAACTGTGTGGTGGCTAACAGCTGCCAATGCGAGGTGATGTGGTGACTGGGCTTCATGAAGACTTTAAAACCTCTCCAAGCCAGACACGGTGAAGCTGGTATTTGGGGTATGCCAGGAAAGCTGGCCAAAAAATATTTTTAGTTGTATTTAAATTTACATGCCGGAGGATACGGTATTCTGTGATGACTAAGGTCACGGAGGAGACCAACGCAAGGGGCGAGCACGCCCTGCTTGGCCCAACCCTCTCACCTCTCATTTATTTTACCATTTCCAAACTGTAAATATTGTTCGTTAAATAGAATATTGTCTTGCGGTATGTTTATTTAGTAAATCTATGTAAATAAAATTTCACGCTGTATAAAATTTTATCCAATATTTTTGTATATTGCTTTTATTTTTTTTATACATGTAATACATTTTAGAGATAAATTACTGGAAAACACGTCAGACGTTACTATTGTAAATACCGTACAGTAGTTACCTTTAAATTATTTTTTTATTATTATTTTTCAATTGTAAATATGTAAATAATTTATAGTGATTGCTTAATAATGTTTAAGAGTTATGTACTTGTACATTCAAATGCATACCTTGGTAATTATTCAAATATTTGGTCTATGCCAGATATCTCCATCACTAGAAATGCTCTCCCCGAGTCAGTCGGTCTTTGAGAGGTTTTACTGTATGAGCAGCTGTCTTGAGGATTCCTTGAATTAGGACGACCTTCACGAGTAAGGTCACTCGTGGTATCAGCACGTTTAAACCTGATGTCGCAATTCCTAGATTAGTTTTTTTTTATAGCAGCAGATAGTAGGCACTACCATATGCGTTATTGGGATTTTTGAGAAAAGATCTGTTGGAGTAAATACAAAGCCCTTTGCACCGATTATAAACGCGACAAGGGAGAGCAGAAACCTGAGACGACCGCCTAGACACAGACACGTGATTTGAGATAATACTCAAGGGACGGAGAGTGTTGGCTGTGATTTGTAAGGACGGTTCTGGAAATTCTACCACCATCAGCATTAGTGCTGCCCTATAACTGGCTTGACTTTTATGACTGACACCAAATGTTCGGGGCACAGATAAATAGATTTGTTTTAGCTCATGTATAATTGGAAAAAAAACTTCCAACATTGATCTTTTGTAAAACAAATAATTTCACAGAATTTGTCAGTGCACAACATAAAATGCCGTCTCCACAAAATATAGACTAATGTCTGAAAGGTTAGTTGGTATTGTTTGGTTATAAGGCAATGGATCTGATGATGGTGGTAAAGATCTTTGTAAGATTTGTGTACAGGCTGCACTTTCAGTCTGATGGAGAAACCAGGCTTTGGTGCTCAGCCGAATGAAACGACTACTTTCTGTGCATGTTTTTGTTAATAGTAAAAAATAAAAGCACATTTCTTAATTTGTAAAATAATAATGGGTCGTGCAATGAACTGTGGACATAAGTACATCCTTTGTGCAAAAGCAGTCACAAGATAAATATTTCAATGGCACCAATTATTTTTGGTTTCCAAAGGAAATTTTTAACTTGATGGAATAAAACAATGCCACATCAAATTATCGCGGCAACTCTTCTTTGTAACAATTGTTCCAATAAGTGAAAGGCCTCGATCTGTTTTAAAACAAAGCACCTTCAGACAGAATTAGCTCTTGCTCCTTTACAAGGAGATGGCACCAATAGTTAACGTTGGAAGTTTCTTCTTCAGTGTTAAAAAACAAACATCCCCCTTTGTTGACACTTTCTGTTGGAAAATAACATTAGCGAGCACTATACAATTGTTACCCATCGTTGTATCGTCGCCCAATTTTGCACTTGAATAAATAAAATTTATATTCAAAGGGGACATTACATTGCACCTCCCTCCTGCTGAGTAATGCTGATGAACTACAAAATACTCAAGCATATGTGACCTGTGTTCTTGGTTCTTTCGGTAAAGTCACGTAGAAGGGAAACAATAAAATAATGAAAATATAAAACAATAAAATTCTCACGACGTTTCGACTGCAACACAAGCAATCATCATCAGGTGCGAAAACCACGCCTTGTTGTGGGTTTCACACCTGATGATGATTGCTTGTGTTGCAGTCGAAACGTAGTGAGAATTTTGTTTTATATTTTTATTTTTTTATTATTTTATTGTTTCCCTTCTACGTGACTTTACCGAAAGAACCAAGAATATGAATCCCTGCAGTCACGAAAGCTTTAAATCAAAAATCATATGTGACCTGATTCATGAAACGTTATATCGACCATCTAAGCCCACTTGTCGCATATTGTTTTTGATGGTTCAGTTTTGTTGTCATTGGCAAAATGGCTTTCTGCCACTTGTAGAATGCACACACCATACTCGCATTGGACACACCAGAGTGGTCCAAAGTGGTTGGGGCTCGGAAGGCCACAGTCAAGCCCGCCACTCGGGAGGCTCCCACCCAGGTTGAGTCGCTAGCGGTGAACCACCGCTCTGTTGGACCCCCACACGACAGTTCTACTGCCCCTCCCCCCGATCTGAGAGGAGCTGGTGCCAGGCCTGCGCTTTGCAATTCACGGAGCAATGTTTCTGCTTGCGGAATCGTGCAATAGATGGTGCCACTACAGCCGTATGATTATCAATAGGATGAGGAGGTTGTGAAGGGGGGAAATCTGTGGTGCATGGAGGGGGCTGGGTAACATTCACGGCTGAGGGGTGGGGAAAAAACCTCACTCATGGAACGGTCACAGAATACAGTGGGACTATGTCCATTTTTAAAACGGGCTATTTTTAAAATTCAAAATTATGATTTTATTTTTACAAAAAACACAATTGAAATAACAAATGAAACCTATTTTTAAAACTTATAGTTATTTTGTTAGTTTTTTATTTTAGTCAATTAAGATATAATACTTTGAAAAAAAATCTAAAAATGCGTGCCTCTTTTGCATAGGGTTTCTCAACGCGTGCACACGCATATGTGCACGTACTGTGTGTGTGTAGACAACTCTCGCTATGGGCGTGGATGTTGATGTCATAATGCGGTGACATCATTACCTTGCGCTGACCGCTAACCTGGGTTTGTGACGTGTAACTTGAGAGTGATGCATGTTGCAGAAAGTTTCTTCTGGCAGATTATATGTAAAGTTACATTCTGCTTATTCGAAAAATGGGCATGTCGTGTGTTTGATATGCATAGGCACATACAAGAGGAGAAATCCCTTATTTACGCATATAGCCATGACGAAAAATCTCATTTATACACAACACATTGCCATTTTACCAATTTCTGATCGAGAATTAAAATAAAATAACATTAAATAAAAATGTGTTTCACTAAAGTAGTTTAAGTAAAAGCCCAAGTTTTCAACTCAATCCTGAACACATACAGTTATTTTATCTCATCGTGCTAAGCTTTTTCAAGACAAGTAGGCGTCATTTCCAGCAGCGCTGTAGTGCATTGTTTATGTAGCTTTGCAATCCAGGCGCTCGCTACTGCCAGACAGGTGAAGCCGCGGTTATAGGGGCACCCTTGCACCGCTCTTGCATGCATTGCATGATGTCGCACTCCCACAGGCTACATGCATAACCATTGTTTTGCCTATGCCTTGAGTAGCAAGAGGAAATGTTTTATGTACCCAGAGGGCAGGCCTAACTTTACGGGTAAACCCGGTTTTTCTATGGTGTGAACACGCCATCGTTAAATATAAATTGTGGAGCGGTGGGTAGCATGGAATTTTGCCAGTGCTGTACTCTGCCACGCGTTCCGACTGGGCATGTCTGTGATTGTAAGTAGAATCAGTGGCAGATACCCCGCAGTATAAGGCATTCATAGATGCTCACACGACCCTCATTCCTTTGCCATCTCTCCACTATTAGCTGCTTCTATGCCTTAACACTTGTAAAACTGCACGGTGTCAATTAGGCAACTTACCAGGCAGCAAGAGCGAGGTTACGGTCCATATCCATGTCATGATGATAATCTACAAATGTATTTTTGTAGTCTGGTAATAACCACTTGAGAAAGTTCAACTCCTAAGCTCGACGGTGGCACAGAGGGCAAGATGCTCGCTAGTCGGTGGCACCTCCCGCGGACCGGTGCCCGTGTCCGCGCCGCTCCGCACTGTCTGCTGTTTGATTTCCCTCGCCGCTGCTGCCGCCGCTGCCCGCTGCCTGTCTGTCCGCACCACGCCCGCCGTGGGGCGCCGCCGTCAGCGGCCACAGCCTCGGCGCCTCGAGCCCGCACGGCACAGAGATCCCCGTGGCGTTCATTCACGGTTGACCCATCTGTGTAATAGATTTTGTAAAATGGATATTTGATGTCTAAATGCAGCACCTACATTTGTACTTTTTACGTATGTGAACGACTGATATCATGCAGATAATTTTAAATGCCTTCTGTAATACTTGTACCTATTGCAAACACATAATAAAATGTTCTTAAAAGTGTTTTGACATTGCAAATAAATATTTACATACCAAACACAAGCAATGACGTATATGTGCATGCGGCTGAGCTGTAGCGCGCGTTCGCCGCTTGTGGCAGAGGTTCGCGGTTCGGCCACAGCGGCCGCCCTGGTTAATACGGCGGCTGTGGGTGTGTTGACCTTAAACGGTGACGTGCCGTCCGTTTCATAGTGGACGTTTAAGATCCCACGATGTTACTTGAAAACGAGTCTGCCAAATTTGAGAATACTGTAACTCACAATTATCTAAAGGAGAAACTCCACGTGACAGCATCGCCCCGTATCCACATTGTAAAGTTGACCCCCGCTGTGAAACTGCAGCAGGTTATCGTCTGTGAAATAATTGTGCCTTCGTTAGAGCCTCGCACTATAAGATTGGCACATATACCAAATGTGCAAATGATTGCTAAGCTATAGCAGGGGTTATGTGGGAAGACCATGAACAGCTTCCTGTCCGTGGCCCATGCTTCCCACAGCGTGCTTCCCTTGTGCCCATTGCACACACGCCGAGGTTGTGACAATTCCGCACAACCAATAAACACTGCAAAATATTGTTTGGGTGGTAAGGCTATAATGTTAATGGTGAAGTCTACGTATGGAATTGTATGCACTTAAGTTGTGTACGCCTGTCTCTAACATTACCAAAGAAGTTATTTGTTGGCAACCGTTATGCAGGTGTAGACAACCGATGAACCAATGTGACAAGTGTACCACAGGAAGACAATAATAACGTGTAGCAACTGTGGGGTGCATCACATTTACAGTGTACTTAGCGCATCACTACTCCGGCCGCTTCTGTTGCATTGGCTGGAATGGTGCAGCCACATTCACTAACGCGCACCAAGGAGCTTGGAGCGCGCTGCCACTGTTTTGCTGTCCATGTGCACGTGAATCGAGCGGCAGCTGGAGAGCTCGGGGAATGGCAGCAAGCAGAGCCTGACAGCCCCTGCTTGAGGAATGCCCCCTCCCCTGCGTGACGGACTTGGCTGCAGCCCACGGGACCATGGTCCCTGTGTGGCCGGGAGCCCATCTAGTCCCTGCTTGCTGAATGCCCCACATCCAGCCCATGGGGAGAATGAGCTGACTTTTCTCTTCATACCGTCCGTCCGATGTTCTACCTAGATGTCCCTCCTCCATAAGTGTTTCCTTCTTTTTGTGAATCGAGCCATGCATACAGCTAAGAGCAGTATATGTTGTGGTGCATGTCCGCATACAGCTAAGAGCAGTGTGACCCTGATTGGTTGGCACCTTGAAGCAGCATTGTCTGGACAGCATGTGGTACTCAGCTTGTGGCAGTCGGCATGAACGTTGGGGCTTGCCCTGCAGCATGCATCACATATGTACCTGTGCAGCTGTATCCATGGCACAATAACTTGACATTTTATATCAACCCCGCTTTTATTCGACAGTTAGGGCCATGACATCAAATACCTTCTAAATTAATGTGTACTAAAATGTAAGTTATAAGTTAAAGCCAAGTGCTATAATGGTGATTTGAAAAGTAATATCCCGATGTTTAATCTTATGTTTCGGAAGTACTAATTTTTTAAATGACGAAATATCGTTTGAACCAGTTCTCCTGGCCTTAACTGCAGCCCTTTTTCAGTGTGCATGTGGGGATGCACATTGGGACCGGTGAACGTATAAGTTGTTCAGGTAAATCCATCACCTGTAATTCTAACTCTAATCTTCTCTCTCCCTGCCTGCGTCGGGAAGGAATATCCGCAAGAGAAGGTATGATGCTGAGCAGCAGTAGAGTGCAGCCATGCACTGCACTCTGCATCACATTCGGCAGTTCATTTCACGAGGGCCCTCACAGTGGGTCCGTACTGTACGTAGCTCCAGTTCCCTGTGCAATTCAAAATATGCTTAATTGCAAGTAATATACACGTTTTTATATCTCATTCCAGTACCTGTCAATAGTAATAGTGGAACTCAACATGATGTGCCTGGTATTCAAGTAAGCAGGCTTTAAAGCACTTACAAATTTCCAGACATGTTTAGTTTGTAAAACATGGATTTTGGTATTCCACTTTAACATGCAACAACAACGCCTCTTATTTATAATGACAGGGATCATCAAATGTTTTGTATTCTCAAAAGGAATGGCTTTTTACCTTCACTTGAGATGGCTGCTCTAATATTTTATTTGCTCATGTCAGTTATTTTCTTACACATTGCTAGTTGCCTGTTTGTAGACACGGGAGTTGCGCTGTTGCAGCGATGCGTTTCACAACCCTACCAACATCTGAGACCGCCCTGCTAAAGGTTACACGAGGCATAAAAAACGCCATCTTAACTGGAATACTAGCTTGTACCAAAAAGTGTCATTATGTTTTAGCAATGTTAAAGTGCTTGTGGTCCATCACCTGTCATTTTTAAGCTACTCACATGATGAGCTCTCAGCTTTGTTCATTCAAACACTGATGAACGGTGTAACGTTGCCAAATAGAAAGGCATGTCGCATAGCAGCCATGAGCTAATGGCAATGCCTTGCCACACCGCCACTTATTTACCGCCATCGTGGAGGGAGGGTGCACACTCACTACGGCTTTTGGTGACGGCAGGCACCACCAAGTGATGATTAAAAGGGGCCTCGCACCCGGCACACAATGCCAGGCACGCTGGCATCGTTGTGGCATTTCAAATATTTCCTAAGCAAAATTTAGAAACCGTACATTTAATTATAAATAATGCATTTGTTTGACCTTAAGATGAAAATTATTCATGTTTTTGCCATCTGAGAACAGAATCATATATGATATATTCCAGATATTAGTATGGATATGTTGATTTTCTGCCATGTGATATAAGTTGGTTAGCTGGACGTAAGTGCAACAACCAAATTTATAACCATTACTCTGTTTTCATTGCCACACATGTATTTTTTTGATTGTCAATTACTAATTAAATCTGTAAATCATTAGGAAAACTCATCATAATAAAATTATAGTGCAGGCTAGAAAACCACAAGTTTCAAACAGCACAATTTTTTTTTAAAAGCACACATCTATTGTGAATTATGCAGTATATCTTTAAGGAGTGCATTGTGCTAGTATTTTGATGGTGACCTAAGAGCAGAGGACCACAGTTAACCTCTTCATAAAATTCTGGTGGATTTTTGCGCAAAGGCTGTGCTATATTTTTACATTTGTCTTGGTGTTTAAAACTTATGCCAATCACTGATTGACACTTTGTAGATGTATCATGGGACCTCCTTTGCCAGTACCAAAATATGCGAATAGGTTTTCCCCTTTTTTTCTGGCAACAAAACAGGTGTTAAGTTGTTAAAACACCAAACTGAAACCTTTCACGAGGAATCGTGTCTGCATTAACCACAATACTTGTGGTCAGAATGCAAACAAAAACAATACTCTGATAATATATACATTGTCTTTGCAACTGATTGGTCCACACCAGAGACAGCTTCCTTGTGAGCCTCGTCTAACGCCTTTTGGCGTCCTCTGGTCGAACACCGTTTGAGACTAGGCTCAAAAGAAAGCTGTCTCTGGTGTGGACCAATCAGTTTCAAAGACAATGCATATTCTGACCACAAGTATTGTAGTTAATGCAGACATGATTCCTTGTAAAAGGTTTCAGTTTGGTATTTTAACATCTTAACACCTATTCTTGGTTCTTTCGGTAAAGTCACGTAGAAGCTTTGCGGATTGTGTAGTCGGAGTAACCATTAGCCTTAAGAGCTTGGTGTACGTGCTTGAGTTCACTGGCTACGTGTTCCTGGTCGGATATGCATTGGGCTCTATGGTGCAGAGTCTTGATGATGGAATTCTTCTGGGATGGATGGTGGTGGGCATCCGGTTTCAGGAAAGCATCCATATGGGTAGCTTTCCTGTAGACAGAGTGGCTCATTGAACCATCAGGTCTCTTTTTTATTAAAGCTATCACTCCAACCATGAAGAAGGACCCTCTTGAGGAGCCTTTCAAAACCATCACTCTACCCTACATTGCGGGGATCACAAAAAAAGATCTCCGAAATCTTGAATAAACACAAGATCCAGGTCCGATTCAACACATTACATAAAATCCGTGATCTGGTTCCGTCTGTAAAAGATGTGATTCCGGACATACAGTACCCTGGCGTCTACAAACTAAGTTGCCTCTGTGGTAGTAGTTACATTGGAGAAACCAAACGACATGTCTAGGACCGCATTCGTGAACACAAAGCAGACCTAAAACACGGTAGGACCAACACCTCGGCCGTGGCAGATCACTGTTATAATTCAGTAGGCTCACATGACATTGACTTCTCCAAGACAGAGGTTCTTTGCAAGCCATCTGGCTACCATGAGAGATTCGTTCATGAGGCTATCCACATATACAAACACAGAGACAATTTCAACCGAGAAGATGGATTCTAGCTTATCAATCATTGGAAGGATTTGATAAACCATTTCGGGTCTTAATTGATTGTTCACGCTTACGGTGGCTTTCAGACCGCATCCATTATTTTCGTCTTCCTCCTCTTTTCCGAACATAGATGGACTCGTCCATCTGAATAACTGCCAAATCGCTCTCCGTGGTGCTAACATTAAATAAACCGCCACTTTTTTCAAATTTTCTTGCTGTGGTTTTCACGCCATATGATGATTGCTTGTGTTGCAGTCGAAACGTCGTGAGAATTGTATTGTTTTATATATTTTATTGTTTCCCTTCTACGTGACTTTACCAAAAGAACCAAGAATATGAATCCCTGCAGTCACGAAAGCTTTAAATCAAAACCTGTTTTGTTGCCAGAAAAATGGGGAAAACCTATTCTCACTTTGTAGATGTTCGATATAAATGAACATCACATCCCGATATCGGCCAATGAATGCCAGCTGCACTGATCAGTGTTGTTGTCATTTTTAGTCTGTGTCAGAAGATTTGTTTTCTGCACTCATTCTGAGTTTGACCCCAGATGAGATGGCTCATGGAAGAGCTCCAAACCAGCACCGATATTTATCTTTTTCACCAAACCTGTCTGGCATGACGTTGCTCAACCCTAAACAGCCGCACTCCATTAGAGCATATATATGTGTTGAATTAAGTTGCTTTGCGTTTGTAAATATTTGGCCTGGGAACAAAATATTTTCTCTAACATTCATCCTTGCTTCATGCTGCTTATTCTTTGGTTTTCCTACCATGAAACTAATGTTCTCTTTGTGCAATCACTTTAATGTGTTAACATTCGTTTGCATTTGCCATCAAATGTCTTCTCTGGTATATGCTTGAATTAGCTGGATATATTTGTAGCTTATCATCACATCTTTGCTCTTTATGATTTATTATAAATGTAGGGAAATCGGACATTAACACGTTGGCATTTGATTTTCGTAAACACCGCATGAGTATTTGTGATAGATATTCAATAATTCAGATTTGTATTTCTGCTCATCCATTTAAATAATTTTATTTTGATCCAACATTCTCAACCATGACTCCCATGAATCTGAAATGTAGGGGAAGAAAGGCCATTTGATCATATAATATAATGCTCAGCATATTAAGCAAATCAACACGCAGTCCAGCCAAGAAACCCACACTTAACCTATATGCGAGATTACACATCAAAGTAGGGGCTACATTTTCCCAATCCTAGCCAGCTGGCGCAAAACTTACAGTAAACTAAACACATGGCTGAGAAAACGTTTGTGTTCGATACAAAAGCCACGTAAAGCATCCGTCCAGTATTTAAATGTGCAAACATTCACAAAACTGCGATGAGGCTGGGCGAGGGCTTTTGTGTAGCCGTGACTCGGCGGCGTGGGGGCAGCGAGCAGCTGTGGGGCTCACCGAGCTGCAGCGCGGCTCTCCTCCTCCTGCTGCTGCCCCAATGGGGCTCGCCATGCAGTTATTACACAGAGCTACATTTTTTTGCACTACTTGTGAAACAAGTAGTTTAAGTTTTGCGAATCTGTATTTTTTTGCTATCAAAAATATAAAAACAGAGAGATGTATATACACTAAGTACAGTAGTTTTGAGGGTGGACTGTTCAGAAAGAAAATCAATATTTGATAACATTCTATCGTATCACAAAGGTGGTGAAGTGTTGACAATTCGCAGTTTGTGATTATCAAGGTCAGCATGTCAGGGCATCTTTAATACTGGAATCCAAAGCTACATTTCTGTGAAACTGTGAAACAGTCATACTGCCAGCGATTTCAAAATCGTAGATCTCTGTCCAATTCAAATCACACCACCGTGTCACATTAACGTGCCTGTGTACAAAATTGTTCATGTTTAAATGCGCGATGCATGCACAAATGTTAAGTGATGCATGGATGCATATATAGCGATATAAATCTATTAACACATGCCATTACAAACGTACAATATCCATTCTAAGAGGCACACATTTTCAACAGTGAGTGATTGAACTAAGAGGAAACCCTTGAGAGGAGGACGCAGGCGGGCTGCTATTTGCCAAGACGCTGCCGAGAGGGGAAAGGTCACGAGCAGCAGCAGCAGCCGCCGCGTCGCGTGCCTGGCAGCAGGGACCGTTGTAGGCCTCGCTGTCGTAACTCAAACTGCCATTTGTACATTACTCCTAGAACACGTTTCATTGTACATTTAATGCCACTTTAAAAATAGAAATGTTCATACGCGGAGGAAGATAAATGCTGAAGTCACTTTAAATTTGGTTATTTGGCAACGCATATTGGTAAATGATTGCGTTCTGCGCCTAGCGTATCAACCGTGTAACCAAGTGGAAACTGGCTGCCAGTTGTAGGTT